TAGATGATCCCAAAACTGATTCAGTCAGAAGGGCTCCAGGGAAAACTGGATGGCTTTGAGTGTCAAACCTGTAAGGAGTTGCCGTGTCCCAAGCCAAAGTTGCCTCATTGCTTTATCCCCTTACTTGTTTCTCCAGATTTTCCAGAAGCAGCTCTCCGTGCCCAGGGTGCTGCAGCTCTTTCTGTTCATGGGAGCCACATTGAAGGAGTGGGGAAACCCCCCAAACTTGTGATGTAATATTGCACCTTACTTGATGTTTGTGGGCCTCATCAGGCAGTGTTGGTTTATGTGAAGAAAACGTGTATTAAACATCCAAGTAGGTCACCCTGCCTGCTTGGGAAAAAGGCAGGTGGGAAAGAGCTGCCTTCTCCTGGAGGCTGCTAAGATTCTGGTTTCTGCTCTCTGTTGTGCCATCTCCTCTCCAGCGGTTACCCTGGTCCTGCTGGCTGGGGGCTGAAGCTGCACGTTTGGAGTGCAAGAAGAAACATGGAGGTTGGTTTGTGCCTTCAGTGTGCCCAGGTGCTTGTTTTGGCTCCTTGGGAAGCCCGGTGTGGCTGCTTTTATAATGTGAGACCTTGTCCCAGTCTTCCAGTGGCTAAAGGGGCTACAAGAAACCTGGGGAGGGGCTTTGGACAAGGGCCTGTAGGGACAGGCCAAGGGGAATGGCTTTAACCTGCAGAGGGGAGACTGAGATGAGCTCTTAGGCAGAAGCTCTTCCCTGTGAGGGTGCTGAGGCGCTGGCACAGGGTGCCCAGAGAAGCTGTGGCTGCCCCATCCCTGGCAGTGCTCAAGGCCAGGTTGGACACAGGGGCCTGGAGCAAGCTGCTCCAGTGGAAGGGGTCCCTGCCTGTGACAGGGATTGGAACTGGAGGAGCTTTACGTTGCTTTCCAACCTGAACCAGTTGGGTTTAAGCTGTTGGGATCTTAAACTGTGACTAGTCAGCTCTTCTCCCTCTTTATTAGTGGCACTTGGAGGATCCACTTGAGCATTCACCCTGCACCGAGGACACTGCACATGTTTAAAGTGCTGAATCCTGCTTCTAGTCAGGAGCCTGCAGGCAGCAGATTCAGAGCAGTGCTCAGAAAACAAAGGCAGAAAGTAAATTCTGGACCAAGTGTTCACAGAGCTGACTTGTGCTTCTCTGACCTGGGCTTGGGAAACAGTAATCTTGGATCTTGTGGCCCCTGAAAACTCCATCTGAACACACAAATTAAGTCCCAGGGGCTGCTCAGGGTCATGTGCTATATTCGTGTCCCTGATGTTTTTGCAGCTAGGAAGGCAACGAGGTTGTCTCTTGTCTTGCTGGTGACCTGCCACTCTCCCTGGAGCCAGGAGACACTCCAGTGAGTGGTGCTGGTGGGTTGTGACCTGCAGCATATCATACCACTGAGCAAAGGTAAGGGGACAACTGGCTGTTGCTGTAGCTCCTCCGGAAGGCAGTGAGGAATGTAACTTCAAAGTCCTTCAGCCTTTTATGGGCTCACTTTAAATTGGCGTCGTGGTTTTAGCATGGTGCCGCTGTGCCTGGATGTTGTCACAGAGCTGACTCTGTCCTGGAGAGGTTATGCTTCCTGCTGGGATGTTTGCTGTCTAATTAATCCTCATCAAGCTTTACTGTGAGTTCTGTACACGGATCTGGACTTGAAGGCTGTAATGAAAAGAGGAGCCAGAGGCTGGGAAGAGGCTGGCATCCCAGCTGTCCTGGGGAGCCTGTTTTGTTCCACTCCTGTGACTGGCAGAGTGGAAAGGAGCAGGAACACTGTGTTCAGATAAGGCTGCACCTTTCCCGTGGAGCAGATGTTTGCCTGAACATCCCACTGGATTGCATAATTACAGAGTGGAGCGTGGAGCTGAGCGGCTGCAGCCTCTGCTGCTGCTGGGGATCAGCTATTGTGTGCTCCTCTTTATGAGATGTTGTTTTGCTTTTGCTGGCTGCTGTGTCACGCAGCTTGGGCTAAAGCACTCCAAAATTGTCCTTTTTTGTTCCCTACACACAGCTGATTGGAGACAAGGAAACAAATCACTTCTTTCTCAGTTTCATTTCCCTGCTCTTGTCCTGCTTGCTTCTCGCTGTAATTGGGCTGCAGCGCTGGAAGTGCTTTTCTGCTGAGCTGGCGAGGAAGCACTTCAGCATGGTGTGTCCTACATCAGCAGTGTGGCCCTGGGGAAGTGAACACCCAGGATGTTATCCCCACCTGCAGCCAAGGGAGGAATGTGTTAACTGCCCCTCTGTGTCTTCCACTCCTGCCCTGCCTCCGGAGCCTGGATGAACAGATGGATTTCTGAGGCAGAAAGAGTTCCTGCATAAAAGAAAGAGGGACAAGACAAGGGGAATGGCTTTAACGTGCCTGAGGGCAGATTGAGATGAGCTCTTAGGCAGAAGCTCTTCCCTGTGAGGATGCTGAGGCGCTGGCACAGGGTGCCCAGAGAAGCTGTGGCTGCCCCATCCCTGGCCGTGTTCAAGGCAGTGTTCAGTGCCCTTGCAGTGGCAGTGCTGCATCTGGGTGCTTTGCTTTGAACAGCCCTGGCTGGGCTGGACCACGCAGGGCTCAAATCACTTGATCCTCCGGGGGGAAGTGCTGGTGAGGGAGCAGCTTCTGGGCTTTGGAGTTGAAAACCCTCAAGCAGAAGCCTGGAGGGGGTTGCTGGAGGTGGCAGGGTCCTTGTGGAACCTGTAGAGCAGGGTTGGAAAGGAGCAGAGCAAGCTGAGCAGCGCCCCAAGGCCCTCTCCTACCTAGCAGGTACATTAAGCTCTTTCCCTTAATTTGTACAAGCCAGGCTGTTCCTTTCCCTCCTGCGTTTATGCTCAACCAAAGAAGGCAAAGGGCCTGGGAAAGGAGTGTGGCACGTAGGGGTGGTGCAGCAGATCCTGGTTTGCAAATGGTCATCTTCCCTCCCCAAAGTGGAGGTGGTTCCTGTGTGCTTGAAATGGCAAAACGAGTCATGGAGCTGGTGTGGGAGGTGAGAGGAGGGGAAGAGGGGATGAAATGGGGTTGCTTATCCCTGACTGCTCCTGGGAGTCACAGGGGAGGCCCTTTCGGGGGAGGAAGGTCTAAAACGAGTCTTTTTTTGTGTCGGACGCTGACTGTACAGAGGCTTTCCTGGAGTAAATCCATCCCTGTCCTGTGGGGTGCCAGCGTCGTGGCTGTGAATAGTGAGGCGTATAAAACAGCAGATGCTGAATCAGGGATGAGAGTTCCTGAATGCTACAACCAAGGCATTCAGCTCTGAGTCTGCAGAGGAGCTCGAGCCTTGGTCAGAGCTGTGCCCAAATGAGAAGAGGAGCTGAAGGCAGCAGGTCAGGTGATGTGTGCTGCAAGACCTGGGCAGGGTGGAAAGCTGGGGTTTCATCCCAGGGTTCCCTTTCCAGAGCCACTCATCACATTTCTGAATACCCCTCATGAAGCAGCACCAAATCAGTTAAGGATCATCTCAATCAGCTTGTAAAGAGCTGAACCTTCCCACGGCAGAGCTCCTGCTCCCCACAGACCTAGGTGCTGTCTCCTGTGGCTGTATAAACGCCAAAACTGGAGTTAAAGCGGGTCTCACAAGGCCATCTGTCAGCTTGGTTGAGATAAGCACAGCCAAGGAGGCAGTGCAAGATTTGTTCTCATTTTCTGCCTAAACAAGTCAATTTTATAAAGCTGATCGGGGGGGGGGGGGGGGGGAAGTTTTGCTGGTGATGCTCTTGTCCACCTGAAGCATCATTTCTCCCTGAGATCCGCAGCTCCTTGTGCCCGGATCACCTTATCCATGGCACAAGTATTGGTGTTGATTCTACACTTGGTACATGTACAGCAGCAGACACTTAAGAGCTGGGGATGAGAGCAGCTTGTGGTAATTATCACCAATTCAAGCTAATCTCCTGCTCTGGAACGGTGACAAAGTGCAGAACAGAGATTAGTGCAGCAGGAGAGCGGCCGTGGCAGGGAGAGCCCAGTGTCCCTGCACCACAGTGTGCTCCCAGTGACTTCCAGCTTGGAGCAGCATTTGCCCCTTTGGGTTCCTCTGTGGTCTTGAGTTGCTGCTCCAGCTCATGCCCTGAATGTTCATGAGCCAGATGCTCACTTAGTGCCATATCTCGTGCACCACTGCAGGGCTTCTTGTTGAATGGGCAGAGAGTTGTATCGTCTTGGGCTGAAGAAGTAATTTTTGAGCACAAAACCTGATGATTAATTTGATATTTGATATAACAAAGGGGAATTGCTTTAAGACATTAGGAAGAATTGCCTAAAGGGGCCTGCAAGAAGCCTGGAGAGGGGCTTTGGACAAGGGTCTGTAGGGACAGGCCAAGGGGAATGGCTTTAACCTGCCAGAGGGGAGATTGAGATGAGCTCTTAGGCAGAAGCTCTTCCCTGTGAGGGTGCTGAGGCGCTGGCACAGGGTGCCCAGAGAAGCTGTGGCTGCCCCATCTCTGAAAGTGTTCAAGGCCTTGGACGTGGGCTCATGTTTCCATCTCTGAGATATCTAGTCTAAAAACCCTGATTTCTCATCCTTCGCTGTAATGGAGTAATGGTGGCTTCTCCCCAAGGCAGTGCTAGAGATAAATGATGCATTCATTTCTGTGGTATATTTGGACATGGGGTTCTATAAATAGATGCAATTATCAATGCGGTTTGTCAAGTGCCTTCTGAGTGGCTGGAAAGCAGCTTCCTAAGTGTCTCTGTGGGCTTCTTATGGAACCAACTCTTTGGTGCAGTCTGGACCTAGTGCTCTGCAGCAGGGATTTACAAGAACTCTGTCTCCTGAAGCCTCTAAGAAACATTATTGCTAAGAAAATATGTGCATCTTTGCTTCTGGATGTGGAATTGTTTGGGTTACGCCTGTCATTTCAGACTCCTGTGCTGGTGAAACTGAAAACTGAACAAAAGCAGCTGCTTTAAAGGCTTTCCAGCTTGCTTGACAGGGCAAAGCATCAGGCTGGTTTCTTGATGGGGTTCTTGCTGGGCTTTTTCCCAATGTCCCTACTTTTACTGATGCTCTTCCCTTCTCTCCTCAGGTCTGGCACCGAAGAGGGTAGCCGTCACCGAGGTGAGATGTGTAAAGCTGGCCCTGTACATCCTGTGTTGGGAAAGGAGATCACAGAGCTCTGGGAAACGCTTCTGTCTGGATTTTTCTGAGCAAAGCGTAATTCCAAAGTACCTTTAAGAAGACTGAAAACTTGAGATCTGTTATTTGGGAGAAAGAAAATTAGTGGCAGGTCTCTGGAGTCCCTGTGTTGGCATCACCACAGCCACAGAGGGGTTGTGAAGGGATTATGCCCACCCCATGGCCAGTTTTAGTTATGTCATCCCTGATGTCTCATAGTAACTGGCTGAGGGCACCTCTTCCACACCAGAATCTGAAAGTAATAAATAGGGGATCTGTGTTCTGGACATGTGCAGGGCTCTATGTTGGATATCACCAGCTCCTGAGAGTGAGCCAAGGAGCCTACAACTTGTGAAGCCATGAAACAAGGGAATATGTCAAGGGACTGATCTTCTCTCACCCCTAATCCAGGTCACAGGTTGCTGAATCACTGTTACCTTCTGGTGCAAAGCTCTTCCCAGTTGACAGCAGGGAATCCTGTGGGAGGATCTGTGCCTCAAAGCTGTTCCCTGAAGCCCACGCTCTTGGTTTAGGGCAGCGTGTTCAACTGATTCTTGTTTCATCTGATTTTTCCATCACTCACCTGGGAGGCTGAACATCCTCCCATGTTAACTGCCAGGGATGTGACACTTTATTCTTTTCTGCTTCCTCAGAAATAATCCCAGTAGGAAGCTCATCTTGTGTGGAAGTTGATTGCATTCTCAGTGCACAAACAGCCCCATTTTTTCCAGGAGGGGAGAACTTGGAAACAAGCCTGGCTGTGCTCAGTGCTTGAAACAGGGCAGGAAATGAAGATTTGTGCAGGAAAAATCACTGCCCTTTAGCACGAGCAGTCCAAGCGCTTGGAGCAGAAATAGCTCCAGCTCTTGGTTCAGAGCTAAAACACAGAACAGCTGTAGTCTGAACAAAATTATCCATTGTCTGCTGTAGACATCACTTTGGAGAGAATGGGTCTGTGCAGCACTCTAGAGAGACACTGAGATAATGTTGTTCCTTGGGAAATTGACCTTGAATCTCTCTGCATGCTGCTTGAAGGAATAGCCAAAACCTGGTCCTTCTTTAAAGTAACCAACCCCTACATGTCATTGGTGGACTTTCAGCTGTTTGCTCAGCTTCTGGTCTGGGCTTTAGCCATGCTCTTTCATTGCAGGGACCATCACTACCAGGACAGCCTGGCCAAGGGAAGAAGATTGGTCATCGAAGTGTTGATGCTTCTGGTGAAACTACCTACAAAAAGGTTTGGTTTTATGCAGTGGGAGAAGCTGCTTTGTGTAAGTGGAGGTTGAGAAGTTGGGGCCCAGTAGCTGCCAGTCTGAGAAAGAATTTTTTTTTTTTTTTTGTGCAGCACACTTTTACTGCATAATCTTGCACATGGCAAACCTGGAAGCCTTAACCCAGCTCTTCAGCAGCTGGTAGAATTTGTTCAGCAGTATGTAGTGCCTGGGATGACCCCACAGGAGTCATAGACGTGACTGTATCATAATCCATGGGATGTTACTGGGGTAATCTGCTGTGAAATACTCACTCCTCTTTTCTTTCCTGCCAGACCACCTCATCCACTCTGAAGGGGGCCATCCAGCTGGGGATTGGGTACACTGTCGGCAATTTGAGCTCCAAGCCAGAGAGAGATGTCCTGATGCAGGACTTCTACGTAGTGGAAAGTATTTTTTTCCCAAGGTAATGGAGACAGGGAAACAAAACAGATGAGCAGCCTGCTCTAGTGAAAGGTGTCCCTGCCCATGGCAGAGGGCTGGAGCTGTAGGAGCTTTAAGGTGCCTTCAACACAAACCAGTTGTGATTCTATGAGTTATTTCTTCTTACTGATTCTTTTCAAGAGAGCTTCCTTCCATCTGTCTTTAGATCACTGAGTTGGATGCTCTTGAGTGTTTTAAATATGCATCCATCACCTTCAAACAGGACAGTGGGAAGTGCTAGATTCTGCAGCACAGTGGCTTGAAAGGAAGTACAATGCAAGATGCAGTACTGTCTGCTTGAGTTTGTTAGCCTTCCTCAATGCTTTTCTTTCTACGTGTCAATCTAGAATTTCTGCCATGGAATTATACCGTGTGTCCTGGGTTCAGATAATTTAAAACCTATTTTCCTGTTGTTGTGCCACAGAAGAAAGATGGGTTTTTTTTTTGTTCTAAGATTTCTTCTAGCAAAGCTGAATTTATATTAAATATACAGTAGCCTTGCTGTGACTCTGCTTATCTTGTGAGTGGTAATACAGAGGCCCTGCTCATGCCACATCTCTCCTGTGCAGTGAAGGAAGTAATCTCACTCCAGCTCACCATTATGCTGACTTCAGGTTCAAGACCTATGCGCCAGTGGCTTTTCGGTACTTCCGAGAACTCTTTGGGATTCGTCCAGATGATTATTTGGTATGTTTACTTCTTTCTCTCTCTTTCCTCCTTTGAGACAAGAAGTTTGCCCCTAAATCAAGGCTGCCACCAATTCTTGCCTAAAAGGGACAGAAAAAGAGATAAGGAATGGTTCTGATCCCAGCAAGGAGTGGGAACAAGCTGTGGATTTAGGTACTGTGCTCAGTTTTGGAGGGGATCCAGTGATGGTCCCAGGAAGATTAGCAGCACTCGGTCCAAGTCTTCATTTGCTGAGAGGTGTAGCTGGGTTCCACTAGAGGGAAAGGGAATGATCTGTATCTGTGTGCTGTGTGAGCTGTGCAGTGGGCTTCCCTCTCTGCTGCTTCGGATGACAGTAACTCTGTGTTTACAAGCACAAGGAGTGGTGTTTTGCTGGGTGCAACCTGTAAGTCCCCTGGGGCTCTGAGGACAAAGATGGGAATTTTTCCTTGTGTACTCACTCTAGAGCTATGTGAGTTGTAGTTATTTTAATCATCTTACAGAGACAGAATAAAATAGTTTGTTCTTGTGCTCAGAAAGCTTCTTAGAGCTGGAAAGGCTGTTTTTAAAATGCCCACTAATACAAGCTGTCGGGGCTTGAAGTACACTGGAGTTCAAGTTGGTCCTTTGCATGTATACAAAGCCCTGCTCTTTAGAACTGAAGGACATTTATTGAGCTAGGGAAGGAAACACACCCAGATGAGCACAGGGTTTTTTAATAGGCCTTTTTTCTGACTTCAGCTGTAGGCAGGAGCAGTTGTTGCTGAGCACCTTCCAGTAGAAACAAATCTCTGCCATTGCATGGTTTGACAGCAGCAGTGGTCCCCATCTGTGCCACCCAAGATAACACTGGCTGGTTTGATGCGTGGCTCAGAACTTGGGTGAGGCAAAGAGCCTGCCTCAACTGCAAAGGTCACAGCTCTGATTTGTTGTTTCTGCTTCCCCTGATTGTCTCTTGCCTGCCACAGCAGCAAATGCCTTTAATTATGCATGAGATAATTAACTTGATAAAGTCTTGGATCATTAATCTGTGCAGAGCTGAAAGCCATTTTCAGTATATAATGATGAGCAGTGAATTTATTGCTCTGATTACGTGCCTCACATCCCCTCCCTCCCTCTCCCCATCTTACCTCTTGCTGTGGCAGCTCTGACATGATGCTGCCCTGAATTTGACCTATATGGTTACCTTAGGGTTGGTACCTGCTGCAGAGGGCATTTGTGTGCTTGCACTTTCTTCTTTTTTAACCATGTGCTCATTTGAGGACCTGCTGTTTGCATACTGATGTCTAGAAATGGCCTCCAAATCCAGTTCCTGATGCTGCACCCCTTTGCTGTGCTTACACTGTGCTGACCCTCTTCTTGTTTGGATACCTGGTCTGATACTTTTCGTGTGTTTCCAGCAGGATTGAGGGGTGAGATGGGGATTTCTCTGTAACAGGGAGCACAAAGCCAGAGGAGGCTTCTAAGAACAGGCAGTGCACTCTTCCCTCTAGCACAGTGATATGTGGTACCCTGAGCAGATTGTCATGTCTCTTAAAATCCCATCTTTCCCTCTGCACTTGTGGTGATGTTCTGAAAGAAGCCTAAATGTGAGACACACACAGTGGGAGAAGAGATGTCATTATGAAGCCTGGATGTTGTTGAAAGCAGATGATTAACTTTATCCTCAGCAGTTGGGATGCTCTGAACTGTAATTTCAGTCTCTAATTGTAAACTGGCCATCCACTTTGCTTAGACCTACCCTATAATGAAAATAGTTCTCACTGAAGCTTTGCTACCCCTTTATCTCCCAGGGAGACAGCATGCTGGGGAAAGTCCTCAAGGGTGTAGGACTCAGTGTGCAATGCGTGAAGCCTAAAAACATGATCTTTCTCTTTTCCTCCCTAGTATTCCCTATGTAATGAACCTCTGATAGAGCTGTCGAACCCTGGTGCCAGCGGTTCTCTCTTCTATGTCACCAGTGACGATGAATTCATCATAAAAACTGTGATGCACAAAGAAGCTGAATTCTTACAGAAGCTCCTTCCTGGCTACTACATGGTGTGTATCCCTCCAGCACCAATGTTAACACAAATCCAGGCCCAGAAGCACAAATCCTGCCAAGTACTTGCAAAGACCCTGTCCCTGGTTTATCCTGGGCCAGAGAACAGCTCTTGATTTCTGACTTCTGGAGAGGTGAAGAGAGCTGATATTTTTAAACTTGAAGTTCCCACTTACTGTGTTTATTTCTCCTCCAGTTTGGTTTCCCTTTTTTAGCTGCTGTTGATGGGGAAAGCAGGGAATTTCCAGACTTGGTTATTTGTGCAGACAGTGCTGAAGATCTCATTCCCTGTATTCAAGGCATAGTGGTATTTTCAGGTCCTAAAGCCAGTGAAATGCAGGAGTTTGTCACATGTGTGCAGTAAGTTCTCATGTAAAGTTGAGAATAGCTCTAAATGTAGACCCCACATCTGACTGTTCCAGGATCTGTTCCCTATGGAGGTGCTGGCACAGGGTGCCCAGAGAGGCTGTGGCTGCCCCATCCCTGGCAGTGTTCAAGGCCAGGTTGGACACAGGGGCTTGGAGCAAGCTGCCCTAGTGGAAGGGGTCCCTGCCCATGGCTGGGGTTGGAACTTGAGGAGCTTTAAGCTGCCTTCAACCTAACCCATTCCATGGTTCTGTAGCACATGTTGAACACAGCAGTTATCTGCCGCAGTGACCTTTCCCTATGTTTTTTTCCCAACCCTTCGACAGAACCTGAACCAGAACCCCCGGACGCTGCTACCAAAGTTTTATGGACTCTACTGTGTGCAGTCAGGGGGCAAAAACATCCGTGTGGTCGTGATGAACAACATCCTGCCTCGTGTGGTGAAAATGCACCTGAAGTTTGACCTGAAAGGCTCCACCTATAAACGCCGGGCATCCAAGAAGGAAAAAGAAAAATCCAGCCCTACATACAAGGATCTAGACTTCATGCAAGACATACCTGAGGGCCTGATGTTGGATGCAGACACCTTCACTGCACTGGTGAAAACGTTGCAACGTGACTGTCTGGTAAGGAGGGGAGGAGGTTAATGAAGTTCCGTGGCTCTCGATTGAGAAGCTTACTAATCTGCTAACCCCAAAGCAGGATAGATCCCTTCTCTTGTGCTTTTCCCTGAAAGCAAAGCATTGGAGTTGGATTTCATGACAGCCTTTGAGGACTAATGCTGTACTCCTTTGCCTGGTGCCTCAGATCATGGCAGCCTGCTCCATTTGGAGCTGATCTGTTGGGACTAAATACATTTTTCCTATATGGTGTGCAGCGCATACATGGGACAACACTGTTATTCGCAAGCCTTCCGCCCTTTTGGTTAATTGTGGGATGGCCAAACTCCAGTCAAGTTCAGAGATGATTTTGATTCAGAACTGTTCAGGCTCTGGCAAAGGAGTTGATAGAGGGGATGTGGACAGGCTCTCCCGTGCTTTGGTACCTGTGCTGCATTTGAGCTGCTGGCCTGATATTTTGTCTTTGTTCTTAAACTCAATGCTAATCTGTAGGTGTTGGAAAGCTTTAAAATCATGGACTACAGCCTCCTGCTTGGGGTTCATAACATAGACCAGCAAGAACGGGAGCAGCAGTCCGAGGGAGCCCACAGCACGTCGGATGAGAAGCGTCCTGTGGGGCAGAAGGCACTTTACTCCACGGCCATGGAGTCCATCCAGGGTGGGGCTGTCCGGGGGGAGTCCATAGACACAGATGACGCGTAGGTGAAAACCTGGTTTGTTTGGGGGGTGGTGGAGGTGGAGGCTGGAGTAGTAAATCCCAAATGAGGCCCATATGAACTGTCAAGAGTGAGCGTCTCTCCTGGGGGTTGTGGTACTGCTGCCAGTAAAGCAGCATGGTGTGAAAGGGGGAAGCTGAGGTGGGAAATAGTGCAGGAAGACTGCAGCCTCATATCTCTCTTCTTAGGCCAGTCTATAGGTTGGCAGCTCCTGTAACAGCCTCTGAACATCTACCCATGCTCTGGGAAGCATAAACTTGCTCAGTTCTAGCTGAGCATGCAAATACTGGAGTGGAAGTAGGGATCAACCTGTCCCTAGGAGCTTGGAGTTAATTCTCCATCACTCCATCTTCGGAATCCCTGGCAGTAGAGTAGAATAGAATAGAACAGAATAGAATCGTTTGGGTTGGAAAGGACCTTAAGATCATCCAGTTCCAGCACCCCTGCCACGGGTAGTGACACCACACGCTAAACCATGTTACCCAAGACTTTGTCCAACCTGGCCTTGAACACTGCCAGGGTTGGAGCATTCGCAACTTCCTGAGGCCATCCCAGTGTGGTTAGCAAACAGCAGTGTAGCCAGGTGCTGGAGTAACTGGTGGAGCTGTGGGTTGGTGGGGTTGCCCAGAACCTGTCCTGTACCTGCCCTGTGTCTCTCATGACTGTCTCTGTAGCTCTGGGTACCAAACGTGCTAACAAATGGTGGAGTTTGCTCTTTGTTGGTGTCTGAAACCAGCTGCTCCAGTTTCGATGGAGGATCAGTCACAGCAAGCCAGGATAATTCTTTGGTTTCCATTTTTCCAAGCAGCATCATTAATTCCAGTGGCATTCTTTTGTTGTGTGCTGGGGCTTGTGGTTGCTGCACCCACCTGTGACAGGACTAATGTTAGTGTGGATGGATCTGGAAACACACTCATCCTTGAAGGTTTGCTGCCCTAACAGGCAGGCAGCTTGCAGTGACCTGATAAATATTCTGAGCCCCAGTAGCTAAGAGAAGGCAGTGTGGTGCTGCCTGGCCCAGGCAGAGCTGTCACCTTTGGTCCTGTCCTGATCCTGGTGATCCAGGCAGGCAGGCAGGAACCCTGGGGACACCTGGTGTGAGATGTGCTGTGTCAGTGACTTCCCCTGGTTGTGCACAGAAGTGGCTTTGCAGGTTTTGCACTGTGACCACCATATCAGAGCCCTCTTTTCAGTGCTGCTGCAGCTGCCCACCCTTCTGCAGGGCTGGGGGTGTTATTCTGGGGGTGTGCTTGCTGAAGTTTTGTTCTGCCTGCAGGATGGGAGGAATCCCAGCAGTGAATGGGAAAGGAGAGCGTCTCCTGCTCCATGTAGGAATAATAGATATCCTTCAATCGTACAGGTAGGTAACTTTGCAGTTGTCTGTCCTTTAAGGATGTTAACATCTATTTTAATCCTGAATGGAAGCAGCAAGGTTTTCCTCTGCTGAAGGGTTTGCTAATGAGTAGGCAGGCTGCCTAAAGCTGTCTGTCCCTCCATGGCAGGGGCTCTGGGTTTTTATCCTGTCCTTAGAACAGCTGGTGATGCAGAGCCATTCTTCTAAGGTATAATAGGTTTCCAAGGCGTCATAAATCCAGGGTTGGAAGTTGATTTTCTGCCCCTCTTGGAGCCCAGCTCCTCCTTCCCTGTAGGGTTCCCAGGTAGTCCTGACCCGGCTCAGAGGTGCTGGAGTGCTCAGCCGACCTGTCTTGGCTGGAGGAAGGCTGCGCTTGGATGAAGGAGGAATTGTTAGCAGCTCAGTGATCTCCCCTGTGTGGTTTAGATGTAGAGTATGTGCCTGAATCTGTCTCTTTCTCTTCACTTCTCCCCTGTAATTTAGGTTCATCAAGAGGCTAGAACATACCTGGAAGGCCCTTGTCCATGATGGGGTGAGTGTCTGTCCAGGCCATGGCAGGATTACCTGCCTTGGCTTCCTTTATGCTACTTGCTGCTGATTACCTTGCTATTTATAGTTCCTGAACTGGCACAATTGAAGCTGATGGAAGGAATAGTTCTTGCCTCTTATGCCACCACAGAGGCGTAGTGCCACTTATTCCCAATCAGGTTTTATTGCTCACTACACCTCCTTGCATGTTTAGCTGTTGTGCTACCAGCTTTCCTCCTCTACTCCCATCTGTCATTTTCCTCCTCCCCATGACACCAGGAGCTGTACACACACATTGTGTGCATTCAGATGTGTGTTCAGGAGCCCTGTGTTTGCTCTCTTTGAATGTTTCCACTCCAGTAACTATCTGCTAATAAATCCCTCTCAGTGCTTCCGTGCTGCCATGTCTCCCGCAGCAGCCGTGTGCACGTTCACAAAAGAACAACCTTGGATGTGGAAACTATTTCTCAGCATCACAGATCCTGGCTTCCCTTAAATAATAAGGCAAAGGAAGTGTGTGGCTGCCGAGTCACAGTGGCACAGTGAAACAGCAGAGACAAAGACAACTCTGGGTTTATGATTTTCAACTTAAAAGTGCAAACTGTGAGATGTGTGGAGAAACTTGGCTTCACACTGGGGTCGGTGCCGTGTGAAAGGTCCCTGGATGTGCCTTGAATGGCAGCGGAGTCAGGAGAAATGTCATGTGTGTAAAACTCCAGAAAGGCTACAAAGGAATAAAATCACCAAAATCCATTCTAAAGTTGCAGCCAGAATATAATCAAATGCAATCAAATCAAAGGCAATGCTCCAGGCTTATTTATAGCATTAATCAGCTCATTTCAGTTAAGCCTTTCCATTTTAAGGCTCTATCAGGTCTAAGTGTTGGAATAGAAAAGATTCTGCTGGTTGTGACAGAAATTCTGCATTGAGGGGTAATTTTCCAATGCAATAACTGCTCTTTGCCTCTGCAGGACACGGTGTCCGTGCACAGACCCAGCTTCTATGCAGAGAGGTTCTTCAAATTCATGACCAACACAGTGTTCCGAAAGAATTCCTGTAAGTACCTTACCCAAGAGTAAGCCCTCATAAGTAAGCCCGTACTTACTCTTACCCAAGAGTAAGTAAGTATGCCCTCGTGATGAGTCAAAGCAGTTGTGCTGCTTTAGGTCCACGTGGAGGGTTTCTGGTGTAGAGTCTGAGCAGGCTTCTCTACTGGGGAGAAGAGCAAAGTCCTCAGGTTGCCATGGCTTGCTTTGCTCTGCTCAGACTGGCCCCAGAGCTCTCCTCTCCCCACAGGCTGGCTCACACTCAGCCCTTGGGAGATGGCACTTGCAGATTACATGTGTATGTGTGCCAGAGGGCGGAGGCCTCTCTCCCTCTAGGAAGGGTAAAGTGCCTTTGGTGTGGCAGGAGTTCAATGCCTGACCACCCTCTGGGGAAGAAATTGTTCATCTCCATCTAAACCTCCCCTGGTGCAGCTTAAGGCCATTTCTTCTTCTCCCATCCCTTGTTCCTTGGGAGCAGAGCCCAGCCCCCTTCTGGCTCCATCCTCCTGTCAGACAGTTGTAGGGAGTGATAGTGTCACCCCTGAGCCTTCTCTTCTCCAGACTGAACCCCCCAGGTCCCTCATCACACTTGTGCTCCAGGCCCTGCACCAGCTCCGTCGCCCTTCTCTGGCCCTGCTCCAGCACCTCAAGGTCTCTCTTGTGAGGAGCCCAGAACTGAACACAGGATTCAAGGTGCAGCCTCGCCATTGCCCAGCACAGGGGCACAACCACTGCCCTGGTGCTGCTGATGCAGGCCAGGATGCTACTGGCCTTCTGGCTACCTGGGCACAAACTGGCTCGTGTTCAGCTCCATCACTCAGCACCCCCAGGGCCTTTTCTGCCAGGCAGCTTTCCATCCACTGTAGTTGCTGGTAGGAATTTCATCTCCTTTTCCTCCTGTTATCCAGCTCTGAAGTCATCTCCCTCAAAGAAAGGGCGCAGTGCCTTGCTGGCTGTCAAAACTGCTGGTCCAACAGCTGCATTTTCAGCCAGCCAGCTTCCCTCTGAAAAGGATGAGACACAGTATGACCTTCGTGCAGCCCGGAGCTACCCCACACTTGACGATGAAGGTAATGGTCTGGTGTGGTGCCTCATGGCCCTGTGATTACCCTCTCTCTTGTAGCAATTCCTTAGGATCCTCCCATATCCTCATCAAGTTCCCCACTATGCACTGACCACATCTTCCTTGATGGATTGCTTTTCACTGCTGTGTCTTTGCAGGTGCTAAGCTTCACCAGGACAGGGGAGAATGTAAGAGTATGCTCTCTGGTCACAGCACCAGGAGTTAGTTGTTTGGGGAAGCAACTCTTCTGCATTGAAGACCGAATCTCTTCTTTGCAGCACTGTATGGTTCTGAGTAAAAATGCTTGCTTGTGTCACTGCTGCAAGGCACCAGCAGTCATAGCCCTTAAAAAAGGGGTGGAAGGGAAGGGCTGGGAGCTATAGGACTCTAATGACAGTGTCTGAATAGTTACAAGGGCCATCGGAAAAAAGAGAGTTTACCTGCTGTGCTGCCTTTTGTTTGCTTCCACCTGGGCTGGCCTTACAGGAGTGGTGAAGGGCAGGCTCCTCAAGTGCAAAGCGGCAAGCACTGGATTCATCCCTTAATTCACTTGGATATTTATCTCTGGTGATCCAAGACTTTTAATCCAGCTTTGGTTGCCAGCGAGATGCCTTCACTGGTGCTACATTTTCTGTAGTGTCTGTCTATCCCACTGGGAATGGTGCTTGCTGGCTTTCATCTAGAGGATGCTTTGGAAGACACTTGCATTCATGAACCCAGCTAAACTTCCTGCAGTTTGTATTTGAAGTGAGCAGTCCCAGGGAGGGTGGGCAGGTTGATGGTGGAGCAGCCTCTCACAGGGCTGGTGTAGGTGAGGTGTTGGTGTTTGACCTTTTCTTCCTCCATCTCTCCTGCCCTCCACTCTGGACCAGCAGGCAGGCCAGACTTGCTACCCTGCACACCTCCTTCCTTTGAAGAAGCTACCACAGCTTCCATAGCCACAACACTGTCTTCAACATCTCTCTCTGTTCCCGAGCGATCCCCTTCGGAGACCTCTGAGCAGCCCAGGTACAGGTGAGTACAGCACCCACCCATCCCTGCCCCACTGCAGCTGGGCGGCTGTGGATCCTCCTCATGCTGCACATCTCAGCAGCTGTCCTGTGATCTAGAATGCTAATGACTGCCTTTAATGAAACCTCTCCTGGGAACAAACAGACACAGCTTTGGTGGGATTAATTATTGCTGGGAGAAGTGTCAGCTGTTAAGTAGAACATCTCCCTCATGGGGTGGGGAGTTAGAGCTGGGGGCAGTATAGGATTCCTGTCTTAAATCACTCCTTAAACTCTACTGTTCTTGTTTCCTTCTGCAGGAGGCGTACACACTCCTCAGGGCAGGATGGCAGGTAAGGAAAGTCTCATCTCGTCTTAAACTGCTGTACAGAAACCTCAGATTCATCTCTATGTCTCTTGAAGGGCTGAATGTGAATTTCAGCAACCCCAAGATTTTGGCACAGTCCTCTGCAGGATGATGATCTGCTTCCTGCAATCAAATGATCCCAGTTATTTAGACAGAATTTTCCTTACAAGTGGATCTCTCAGTGCTTTGTGAGGAAAACAGAATCACAGAGTGGTTTGGGTTAGAAGGGACCTTAAAGCTCCTCAAGTTCCAATCCCCTGCCATGGGCAGGGACACCTTCCACTAGAGCAGCTTGCTCCAAGCCCTGGAGTCCAGCCTGGCTTTGAACACTGCCAGGGATGGGGCAGCCACAGCTTCTCTGGGCACCCTGTGCCAGCGCCTCAGCACCCTCACAGGGAGGAGCTTCTGCCTAAGAGCTCATCTCAGTCTCCCCTCTGGCAGGTTAAAGCCATTCCCCTTGGCCTGTCCCTACAGGCCCTTGTCCAAAGCCCCTCCCCAGGTTTCTTGTAGCCCCTTTAAGTGCTGGGAGCTGTTCTAAGGTCTTCCCAGAGCTGTTTATTCTGATCTGCTGGGGAATCTCCTCTGGGGGTTTGAGAGGAAGAGGAGTGAGTTGCCTGGCATGGGGCTGGATGGGAGTGCTGGCTCTTGGCTCTGGCTTCCAGCCAGGGGTGGCACAGAGCAGGACAGTGCTGCCAGTGAACCTGGAGCTTGTTTTTTTCCCAAGCATGTGCCATCTTCTCCTTCCCATGAGGACTGTGGAGCCAGCCCTGCTAGCACAGGCAGTTGCTGCAATAGCATGAGGTATTAAACTGAAACCTCTCACAGACAGCTCCTGAGTGTGCGGGTAAATCCAGTGTTAACCCTGGAGTGAGCTTGGGCAGCTTTGGGAGTCTCAGAAGAAGGCAGAGGCTTTGACCCTTGTGTGGTTGATAAATAATGCCAAGCAAACTCTGGGCACAGGTGTTCCCCAGAGGCCAATTCTCTTTCCTCTTGTACTGCATTGACACTGGCTATTTAATCCCTTTCCTTTTGTCCTCCTTTCCCACCTCTCCCTTTGGTTTCCAGGTCACACGAAGAGGTGCGGGTTGAGGAGGAGCTTCAGCAGATCAGTGTTGAGCTGGAGCCCAAATGTGATGTTGAGATCATAGCTCCTGAAGATGATAAAGAGTGAGTGTTCTATGGTGCTGGGCAGCTTTGCAGACCCCTGCCTGGTGTCATTTGGTCCTGGATGTGACGGTGGAGCATCCCCAGGACCTCTGTAGTAAATTATAGCCTTGCTTGCTCAATTTTGATAGACTCTATCATCTTTTCCCCCCCTCCAGAGAGGCAGCTTCTTCAGCCTGTGCCATTGTAACGTCCACAGCTACTGTAGAGGTAGAGACAGCCAGCCAGGCCTCGGAACCAGCCAGCCAGGCCTCAGAACCAGCCAGCCAGGCCTCGGATGAAGATGATGTGCCAGTCACAGACATATACTTTGTAAGACATCTTCTCTGCTTGGCCAGTTAGGGGTGTGATGGGAAAGGTTGGACAAGGCAGTTGGGTGCAGAGCAGTACCATCTGCATGTTGAGCACCTTGAGGTCTTGACACTGGGTGGGTTTTTGAGGACAGGCAAGTGGATTAACCCTTGGAGAATGCAAACCAGCATCTTGTAGGGCTCAGATGGGTGGCACTGCTGCTGTGGATGTAACCATAGGTGTGCTACTCTACTTCCAAGAAGGATGAAGGGTTTATCTAGGCCACGTTCACTTCTGACACAAGCCAGGGTGAATGTACGTGCAACTGAGGGGTTCTTCCTTCCTCAGCCAGAGAGCCCGGCTGCTTTCCTGAGCTCAGATGTGCCCCAGTGGCCTAGAGCCAGAAGGGAGGTGATTGCAGTGGGGCTGACCTTGGGCTCTGGTGAACTCTGGCTTTTAATTTCCCTGCAGACAGATGCATTAGGTGATGCAGTGGATATCTAGTGCTGAGACAGGGAGTAAGTGAGCTGGTTGCTGGTTGGCAGCAGAGTGCTGTGGAGCCTGGAGCTGTTCCTCAGTCAGCCATCACAATGTCTGAGCAGCTTCTACAGACCAGAGAAGAGTTTTTAGCCACATGGATGTGCCCCTGGGTTCCCAGACAGAGCTGAGGGTCTGACCCTGAGAGCTCTCCCCTGTGTCCAGTCTCTGGAACCATCTCAGTAAAGGATGTGCCCATATCCTGCCTGCTCTGACATGTTGCTGTTGGGTACGTGGTGATGGAGCTGAGCCCTTGTGATGAACTCTTTCAGGCTAACCTAAAAATGGCAACGTCTGCCTTTCCCTGTGCTTGCATGACTGCTGTAGAGCTGCTCACTCATTGCCGAGTCATCCCAAGGCTTGTGGGAGCTGTGGAAGGAATCAGCTCCATTTTAAAGGCTCGTCTGGTTTGGGTTTTTATGCATGCCAACAACTCCCTCTAACCCCACCTGCTCGCTCTTTGCCTGTGGGTGGCAGCTGGTTGCAAGCTGCCTGTTCCAATGGCAAGTGTCTTATAGGAAAGGTCAGTTTCTCTTCCTCCATGTCCCTGGGCATATGAACTCACCCCCCAGTTTGTGGGAGTCCTCTTTATCCAGAGGAAACTATCTGTGTGCAGTATGTGCTCCCAGAGAGCGTGACCGACTGCTCATCAGCATTTCATACTTCATCCGAGTCCTTGCTTTGTGTTAAATGTGTGTCGTGTGCTGTGGAGTGTTTCTCACTGCTGGGATGAAGGAAAAGCTGATTTTGGGTTCCCATGGGCACTGTCCTTGGAAAAGCACTTGAGCTGGAGCATGGGAGTGCAGCAGGGCTGGAGCCGCGGCTGCTCACTGCCAGGAGTGCTCCAGGGGTGATGGTCAAGGGATGATTTGTCAAGTCCCAGGGGACTGTGATCTGATCTCTGGGAGTCTGCTCCTGAAAGAAGAGCACTTTATCCTCCTGTTCACCCCCAGGGGAATGAAAGTGCAGAGCTGATGGCAGGGCTTGGGCACTGCTCTTCCCACGCATGGCTTTCCTGCCTGCTGAGCCCTTGAGGCCTGGAGTTGTCCAGCCCCGTGGTTGTTGCTTTCTCTTTCATTCTCTTTTTCACATCATCCTTTTTTTTTTTCCCCTCTTGTTTCCTTTCTCACCTCGCTCCTCCTGGGGGCATCCAGTTCACAGATGGGAGGTACTGGATTTACTCTCCCCGCCAGCACAGATTCCGAACCACCTGGCTTTCCTCTGGGAGTGTAAGTGAACATGCCAGCTCGTAGGGGAGCAGAGCTGCAGCTTTGAAACACTGGGGCCAGTGCTCCCTTTCCCTTGGATGCTAGGGCTCTGTGTCATGTGGCCCAGAAGAAACCAGGGGAGCATACTGGAATCACACAAATGGATCTTCCCTGTAGGGTCTTGCAGGAGCATGTGCTCTGTCCTGCTTTTCTGCAGGCTGGTGACACAGCTTCTGCCATGGGATGGGCTGTGCTATCACCCATCCTCGGATGGGTGTGCTATCACCCATCCTCGGATGAACTTGCAAGCACCAGAACTGGCCAGAGAGGCACCTGAGCCTTTGTAGGTAATGTTAGACTCAGCCCAGGAAGCCAGATGAGATTCCAAAGAGACCATAAAGATGTTTCAAAGCTGCTAAAAACCCAAATCTGACCATTTAGGCTCATGGCAGGGATGGTGAGCAGCTCCTACAGCCGAAGGAGTTAGGAGTTGCTGCTGGGTTAGGTGTGGTTTTGACTCTCCAGCCCTTCTCAACAGCACCAGTGTGCTCCCCCCTCACTGCAGGTTTTCTGGGAGCAGTGGGGATTTTCCTTTCCTTGCCACAGGATGCAGGGAAGCAGTTATTTAGGAGCTGAATCCAGAGCTCAGACTGCTACCCTTCTAGGGCTTTGGGAGAGCTCATCTGCTCAAAGGCAGTGCCAGAGCCTCAGCACAAGCATTTGTATAGCATGGTCCTGCCATTGCCTGCCTTTGTGGTGGGCATGGGGAAGCAGGGCCATGACCTGCTCCTGATGGCACCATAAAGTGCTGCACCTACCTGGCCAAGCAGGCAACACCCTCCAGCAGCTCCTCCTGCCCCTCAGCCTGGTTTGGCTGCCCCAGGACAGTTAATATCAAGCCACCAGATGGTCCTTTATGTCCCCTCTGGGTTTGCAGCTCCCTGCATGCATCTGAGCTCCCCAAAGGCTCTGGAAGAGGCTGGCTGGAGCCTGCAGTTCAGTCAGGATGGATGAGCAACAGGATGTGGGGGAGGTTTTATGCAGTCTTGAGCTTTTCTGCACCTCTAGCAGAGCCCTGTGAGAAGTTGTAGGCAAGGTTGCTCTTCCCTCCGTTCTCTGCTAATGAAGCTGCAGTTATTGATGGGGTTCAGCATGTGGAGCCTGGTGCTTCAAAGATCCTCTGGCTTTTTGTCATTAGTTTCTTGTACACTGTAGACTGTTAAGCCCCCACCAGGCTTTTTCCAAGCACCCAGTTCCATTTCTCTTCCTCTGCAAACCCCAGGCTGTCAAAGGGTGCAGTTTCCTCTCTCTGGGAGCACCTCTGGAGACAAAAGAGCCCATTTACAGAAGAAGTGGGTCCCCCCCCGGGAACACCAGAAGCAGGCACCAGCCTTTGAATACTCCTGGGCTTCTCTGAGCTGTGTCAGTAGCAGAAGTGTCTTGGCACACGATGCCCAGTGCTGTGATAACCAGCTCCCTTGGCAGGCACCCTCTTCCCCCTTATTCATTCCAAGATCCACTTGTGTTTTGCCTCCTTTGTCATATTCATTCCCATCACTCCACTGTCTCCAAGACACTCAGTGATAACCGTTTCCTTTCTGTGGCCACCATCCACCATGGTCTAACCCACCCATCTGCTGCCTTGCTTGGCCTGCAGGGAAGTGGGACGGCACAGCAAACCAGACCATGCTTCACTGTAAGATGCCAGCTTGTCTCATGTACATGGCTCAGGAAAGGGGAGGTTGAGGGCTGGGAGTGGGTAGCAAGAACCACAAGCTCTGTCACTGCCCTTAGGTAAGTCCTTGCCACGTGTCTCTCGGTTGCTCTAGAGAGGGGTGCTGCTGTGGCAGGGAGGGAGCTGAGGTTTCTCTGGCATCTCAAAGCTCTAAAAAGCTGTCCCCGCAAAAGCGATGGTTGTGTCATCCCTGCTGCAGGGGAGCAGGGTGCAGTGTCAGTTGCTTGTGGGCTGTCCCATGTATGTACCAAAGATGAGGAAGGCTTCTCAGCTGAGAGCTGGCACCAAGCTCAGTTCTCTCCCTCAGGTGGATTGTTCTTATGTATTGTTTCCTACTCTTTTTATTTTCTCCTTTTATTTGTTCCCTTTTCTCTCCTTTGCTCCCTGCTCTGCTGCTGCTCTCCTTGCATTCTCTCCACCGTCTCTGGCCACTCTGGCAGCCGACAGACGAGAGGAGTTGGGTTTACTCCCCACTCCACTATAGCGCTCAGCTCCACTCTGTCTCTGATGAGGAGAGCGATACAGTAAGTGTACAAGACACGGGTGCTGGGTGCCCAGTGGGTCGAGGCCAGAGCTTGTGGCTGTGTCCCCTCACCATTGGGGCTCTTGCATGGCTGCAGCAGAGCCCTGCTGTGACTCGGGTCAGCTCTGTGGCAGCAGGCAAGATCTCCTGTGCTAGCAGACCAGGGGCTGTGGCTTGTTCTGAATGGTGTGGTGCAGTGAGAGCTTTGGGGAGCTGAAGTTCTCCAGTGGGGTTGTCATTACTGGAGGATGCAAGATTTACAACCTTGGACTTCTTTCATGCTTGTTGTGACTGTGGGAATTTGGCTGGGCTCACGTGGAACCACACACAGGGCCGAGGGCAGGTGCTGACTCTCTTTTCTCTGCCTCTTGCAGTAATCTCTATGCAGACACAGAAGCCCCAGAGAGCAGCGATTCCCTCTGCAGGTCGATGTGTTCCCCTTTTATTGATGCAGCCATTCCAGTGGGATGGGGAAGAGCTTGCTGACACCAACCAGTATTGCTGCACTGCAGGATCCCGGGCACTGCATTTCAGAACGGAGCAAAACTATAACCGTGTCTTTCTACTTACCCCAGACGTGGGCAGCAAAGGAAACCACCTGCAGCTCCTGAGGGAGGCAGCAGCGGGGTGTAGAGAATCCTGAGTAGTAATACAGTGTTTTCCAGACGTGCACTACCGTAGCTACCCATCCATGTGTGATACTGTGAACCTTTTTAAGTTTTTAACTGTGTATTTATTTCTTTTACCTTTGCACAGAGGCAGCACAAATGTGCTTTTTTAAACATTTAGTTTACTGCACTCTTTTTTTTTCCCTTTTTTTTTTTGTTTCTTTTCTTTTCCTGTCATATATTTGTGCATCAGAAAGGAGTGTGAGACCTCACTGGAGAACTGGTAGGAGCACGTTGCTGGGGAGGGCAGGGACCGGAGTGGCTTCACTGGAGGCAGCAGCATGGTCTGACCAACTGATGGAGTCGGGAGGTTTGAGGCTGTTCAGATTCTGCCACGGTTTTGCCGAGTGATCTAAGGCAAGTCACTTGCCCACTCTGTGCCTCGGTTTCCCCCATGATAAGGGGTGCACAGTACCCACTTCCGTTAAAGCACTTAAACCCTGGGATGAAAGGTGCTATGAAAATGCAATGTATTAAAGGCCATGGAATAGAATCACTCCCATGTTACAGTAGTCCAAAGTAGCCATGCCAATTTTCTTGGATTAAAGCGTCGCTGGTGACTTCTCTCAATCTGTGCCACTGTGTGGGGGCAGCAAGAGCAATCTTGGACCAATCCCGAGGGACAGTGATGTTGTCGCCTCAGCTCTCCTCTGGCTGTCGTGCTGGTTTCTGCCTCCGCCATGTGCTGCATCACCCCTCACTCTGTGCTTTGAGCCCCAATGCTTCCTCTGAACTGACTGCCACACCGGACACACTGGCACAGACGGATATGCACCTCCCAGGACCATCTGTGCCTGGGCCGGACACTGCATCCCACTGGAGCCACTTAGCACCTTGCATGCTCATGGCTGTACTCAGGAGGACACAACCATTGGGTTCACGTAGATGATCTGTACCTCAGGGTGGTCAGCAAGGCACTGGAGGTGGGAATGGGAGCTTGGCTCTGCCACCAAATGCCGTGTTTGTGGGCTCTGTTGGTGACTGGGATGTTGTTGCCTGTGGTAACATCAGCTGCTGGGCATCACTGCTTCAGCTGTCTATAGTTTGCTTGAGGAGGGCTTTAAAGCAAGGGCATTTGGTGTCACCAGGTGTTGGTAAGACAAGGCTTGCCCAACCACCAGCAGGGCACATGCCATAGCATTATCTTCAACTCCAGCAACCCCATTCTCATCTCCCAGAGAGAGGAAAGAAAATCCTTTAGACCAGAAGGAGCCAGGTCTCATTCCTGTGCTTTATGAGCCTTGCTTAAGAAAGAGGGTCAAAATGTTGTTATTCTCATTACAATGTTTCAGACTGTCCTTGGGATTCTTTGTAGAGGAGTGGGGGAAAGGGACCCTTCTCCCAGTCTGAATTCCCAGCAGTGCTCAGGACAGCTTAATTCAGGTCCCAGAGGGGAACTGGGCTGGTGGGAATAGCTGCCATGTGCTGAACTTGGTGAGGATCTTCAGGAATGGATGTTTTCTTGCCTAGCAGTACAGGACCCAGACTTCCCCCCTTTGCCTGCAGATGCTGAAGGCTGTAAGGTGTGCTGCTCTCAAGAGCACAGATTGCAGATCTTGCAAGCTGCTGCCATTAGATGTATTCATGTATTTACCAAATAATCTATCGGAAGTCTTTAACTCTCCCCTTTGAGTCACTCCTCAATGGCTCATTCACCCAGCTGCCAGCATTGCTCCATGGCAGCCCTGTTGCAGGCTGAGGAATGTCTCTTATCGCCTCTCTGGGCCAGCCCTGGGCTCCACAGGCTGTGAGCAGCACTCAAGGAGCTCAGAAGAGAGGGGACAGGAGGACTGTGATACCTACAGCCCAACCTGCATCTGAGCTGAAAGCTGGAGGCTTCAAAATGTTTAGTATTCAGCCTTTTTTTCCTCTCAAAGTGATGCTGTGTGTAGAGAGGCCAGAGGGAGCCACATCCCTTGTGCATCTTCAGATGCTGCTCTTGGGTTCTGTGCTGGAGGAGTCCAGGAAGTTGGGCTTGGGTGGCCTGGCCTGAGCTCACCACCCTGGAAACACCGGGCTTGAGGGTGCTGGGTTTGTCCCCCTCGGCCTTTCCAGCCAACTGAAATCAAGCACCTTGTTTAAGATGGTTTAAACGTTGCTGATGGAGACTTTCATTCCTTCCCCTCACTTCAGGAGGCTCTAAAGCCTCTGTGCAGGGAGCATCTGAGCCCCACCTCCATGGAGCATCTCAGTGAATGAACTCCACAAACTGGGTGGAGCTCTGGGTTCCAAGAGAGGTGGAGAACCCCAAACCTCTTGCAGCATGTTCATTCCAAGCGTTGGCTTTCCTCAAGCGTTCAGGCTTTTTGAGACAATCCTTGTGCAGTTCTGTCCCACTGAACTTCCAGCCCACCTGGGTCATAAGCTGCCTGTACTTTCTTTGTCAGGGTTTTCTGTAGTGACCCAGAAGCTCCCTGGTGTAACCCCCTGCTCTCTCCATCATTAAGAGGAAGCACCATGTTTCTCTTACTCCACTACGGTTTGAGCAGAGCAGCCCTATGAGACACCTGGTCCCCATGTAGCTGTTTGCTCTCCTTCATCCTTACCATCCCGTCTGGAACTCTTGGCTCTCTGGGACATGCCCTGGTGAGCTTTCAGCTCTGGCTATTGCCAAAGTGCAGGTGGATTTGGCAAGAGAAAACCAGCATCTGTGTCGTGCTTGCCATCAAGCTCCTGTGAAAGCTCTGGAAGGGCACACCGCGGGGCTGGCACAGAGAGCCCCGAGTGCCCAAACTGCGCTTTCAGACGTGTTTTAGTGAAGCTCAAGCACTTGTAGGTGTTGGTACCGAGCTGGTGCAGGCACGGCTGCCGGCGTGGGCTCTGCTCCTCCCTGTCTCTCTCCCAGCTGTCCTGCTCTGGTGAGGACGAGGTAGGAGCCGCAGCTCAGGCGTTCTGGACCGTGTTGGGTTTTCCTTTCTGTTGATGTCTACATTAGACCCGAGTCTGTTCTGGTGACGTTCCTATTCCTGCTCATTCTGTGTCCGCTCTGTGCGTGCACCGTGTAACGAATGTATGTAAGCAGCGGGACGCGGGGGGCTGGCGGCCCCGGTGTGATGCCAGCCCGTGGCTGTTGTCGTGTTTCTCGCGTTGGGGGGTGAAGCCATGAGCTTTTCTGATGTTCTCGGTTGTTCTGAGGGGTTTCCCCCCCCACCCCGGGAGACCTCATTTCCAGAGGACTGTAATGGATGCTCTGTCCTGCTCTGTGATAAAGCATAGTCTGTGCTGTGCCGACTCTGGCTCCTTCCTCCCGCCGCGCCGCTTTGGGGCTGAAACAGAACGAGGGAGGAGCGGCCCCGCTCGGCTCCGCCCCGCCGCTGGGGGCCCCGGCTGGGTTCGGCGGCTGCGGTGCGGGCTCGGGGCCGAGCGGGGCCGTCGAGGACTCCGGGGCGGAGCTGCCGCCGCATCAGCCGGCGATGGGCTCTGGGTCGCGCAGCCCGGCCCGGCGGCGCAGGGAGCGGGGCCGGGAGCGCTCCGGCAGCCGGGGGAAGCGGCGGCGGCGCAGCAGGAGCGGGGGCCACCGGCGAGAGCCGAGCTCGGGGTGAGCGGGGACCAGGGCTGTGTCTCGGGGGGCCCGCGGGCCTGTGTTGGGCGGGGCGAGGCAGGCTCCCTGCAGCAGGGCCGGGCGCGGGAGGAAGGCCTGGCGCAGGCCAGGGTAGGCCGCGGCGGAGGGGGAGGCCCCGCAGGGCCCTGGGGCGGGCTCCGGTGGCCCCTGGCCGGTGAGCGCCTCGCAGAGCGTGGCCCGTGGCACAGAACGAGCCCGTTCGGGGCTGAAGGTGCGTCCCGTGCCGCCGGGCGAGCGCCCTGGAGCTTTCCCGGAGCTCTGGCGCGGCCGCAGCGCGGAGGTGCGGTCCCCGCTCCCGCGCTCCCCGGCGCAGAGCAGGAACCGTGTCCCGGACACCCCTTCCCTCCGCCGCAGCTCCGAGTCTGGCGGTGAGAGGCAGAAATGGAAGCAGAAGAGCAGAAGCCGGGACCAGCACCACAGCAGCCGCAGGAGGCACCGCTCGCACTCACGGGGCCGCTCCTCCGGGTCGAGCTCTGAGCGTGAGCGGGACCAGAGGAGAGCCCGGAGCCGGGAGCGGAGGAAGAGGGACGGCTCCAAGTCTTCCGTGTCCTCTGTCAGCTCCCCTTCCCCACCGCGCTGCCGGGGCCGGGAGGAGACGGGGCAACAGCTGAGCCTGCAGGAGCGCCTGAGGCTGAAGGAGGAGAAGAAGAAGCAGGCTGCGCTCATGAAGGCCCTGGAGACGCCCGAGGAGAAGCGGGCTCGGCGGCTGGCCAAGAAGGAGGCCAAGGAGAGGAAGAAACGGGAGAAGATGGGATGGGGAGAGGAGTACATGGGTTACACCAACACTGACAATCCCTTTGGGGACAACAATCTGCTGGGCACCTTCATCTGGAGCAAGGTGAGCTCCTCAGTGCCTGTATGTTGCTGCTCAAGGGAGACCATGCTTAGGTGGCTGCCAAAGAACAGGGCAGAGAAGCTGTGGGTCTTTGAGGGAGCTTTGCTTGAGGTGAGGTCCTCTGTAACACGAAGAGCAGCTCCGTTGGAGTAAATCACTGCTCTAGGGCAGGAGACGGGTGTTTCTGACAAGCTTGGTGGGGTTTTATCTCCTTTCTTTGTCTTGAATACTAAGCTAAGGGGTGCAGGGTGAGGAGGTGGGTCAGGGGACAGGAAAGGGGCCTGGACCTACTGGGTGCTGCAGGCCGAGAGCTGAGCAGTGTTTGTCGGTGTGTTAGTGCTCATGCTTCACTGAGGGGCATCAGGAGTGGGATTTAAGGGACTGGGGGACCTTTGACAGGATCACAGCTCACTGGAGCAGTGGAAGCAGGTGGACATGATGGGATTTGCTGGCTGGTTGGGGCTGTAGAAGTCACTAGGTTTCATGGCTGCCCTTGGCTGCTCCATTTCAGGCACTGGAAAAGAAAGGAATCAGCCACTTGGATGAGAAGGACCTGAAGGAGAGGAACAAGCGAATCCAGGAGGACAATCGCCTAGAGCTGCAGAAGGTGGGGTCAGATGCCCCTTCTCTCAGACAGTCCACCAGAGAACCCTGTGGCTAGGCCAGTTCTCACCTGAAAAAGTGCCCTTGTTCTTCTCATTGGGGTGCCCACAGGATGCAGGATTGGGGGGGCAGGGGGGGCGCAGTAGATTTCTGCTATTCCGTGGTGGAAAGACTCTTCTCTTGGGGTTCAGTCCAGCTCAGGAGATGCTGAGGAGGACAAGTGCCAGGTCACAGCACCAAGGTTCAGGGTTGCATCCACAGAGGCCTCACGTCTCCCTCTGCCCTGGCAGGTGAAGCAGCTGCGCCTGGAGCGAGAGCGGGAGAAGGCAATGCGTGAGCAGGAGCTGGAGATGCTGCAGCGGGAGAAGGAGGCGGAACACTTCAAAACCTGGGAGGAGCAGGAGGACAACTTCCACCTGCAGCAGGCCAAGCTGCGGTAGATGTGCGGCTCCAGGGGATAGGCCTAGCAAGGAGCAGGGGTGGCAGGCACTGATTTCTGTCTCTTTCTTCCAGGTCCAAGATCCGGATTCGGGATGGGAGAGCAAAGCCTATTGACCTTCTGGCCAAGTACATCAGCGCGGAGGATGACGATCTGGCCGTGGAGATGCACGAGCCCTACACCTTCCTGAACGGCCTGACCGTCTCCGACATGGAGGATCTGGTGGAGGACATCCAGGTACCAGCTCTGCCAGCCCTGTGCTCAAGGCTTCTCCCCCTACAGCTCTGCTTCCCTACCTGTGGTGTGGAGCAGGAGCCTGATGCCCTGCTTGTCTTCTGCCTGCAGGTTTACATGGAGCTGGAGCAAGGGAAGAACGTGGACTTCTGGAGGGACATGACCATCATCACGGAGGATGAGATAGCCAAGCTCCGCAAACTGGAGGCCTCTGGGAAAGGAGGACCGGGTAAGTGGGAGGACAGAGCCTGGTGTGGGTGTCAAGAGGAGTGTGAGTGGTGGGTTGTAGGGTCTGCTGTGTGCACTGGGGCTCAGAGGAGCAATCTGGGATCTGCTGACCTTCTGGTTGCCCTTGTCTGTGTGTCCAGGAGAGCGTCGGGATGGTGTCAATGCCTCGGTCAGCTCCGACGTGCAGTCCGTGTTCAAGGGGAAGACGTACAACCAGCTGCAAGTGCTGTACCAGGGCATTGAGAGCAAGATCCGGGCAGGAGGCCCCAACCTGGACATTGGGTACTGGGAGAGTCTGTTGCAGCAGCTGAAGGCTTACATGGCTCGGGCCAGGTAAGAGCCAAGGGTTGCCCCTTGACCAGGGCTATGGGAAGGGGCAGCACAGACCCTGCTGTGAGCAGAGCTGGCAGGGGGACACAAACCTAAAGTCACCGCTGGGGAGGTTTTACACTTTCCTAAGCGGTAGCTTGCCCCAAGAGCAGGGAAGAGCTGGGGACAGTCCTTTCTCCAGCAGCAATGTTTACAGTGAGGTCTCCAAGAGGGAATCAAACTGGAGGGTTGTTCAACCCCAAACCTTGCAAACATCAGCAGATTTCCAGCTGATGTGGTGGGTGTCGGAGCTCTGGGAAATGTGGGCATGAGGGGGTTCTGCTGGGTGGGACCTGACAGTTCCTCTCATCCTTGCAGGCTGCGGGAGCGGCACCAGGATGTGCTGCGCCAGAAGCTGTACAAGTTGAAGCAGGAGCAGGGAGTGGAGAGTGAACCGTTGTTTCCTATCAAGCAGGAACTGGCCTCCCCCAGTGACAGGTAGGAAGCCCTTCCTATGGGCAGCATCTAGGGCTCTCGAATGGGACACCCGAGGCAGAAGATGCAGCCTTGTTCTCCCATCCTTCCGTAGGCAGACTTCAGGCAAGCACAGAACAAGGGTACCATCCCCGTCCCAGTCCTCTCTTCTCTCTTCCTTGCAGGCTAGATCCAGAGGAGATGGTACAGCCAGGGCCATCATCGGAGCCAGAGGCTGAGCAGGATGCAGAGGCCAAGGGAGAGGCTGTGCTGATGGAGGAGGACCTAATCCAGCAGAGCCTGGATGACTACGATGCAGGGAAGTACAGCCCCCGGCTGCTGAGCACCAATGAGCTGCCCTTCGATGCACATGTGCTGGAGGCTGAAGAGGACACTCATCGCCTGCTGCTCCTGCGTCAGCAGCTGCAGGTCACAGGTGGGAGCCCCTGTGCTTGCCAAAACGTGCTTCAGGGTTCAGGGCTAGAGGGGGAACAGATTGAGATGGGATCTTAGGCAGATTGGGCTTGGAGCAACCTGCTCTAGTGGAAGGTGTCCCTGCCCATGGCAAGGGGTTAGAGCTGGATGAGCTTTGAGGTCGCTTCCAACCCAAACCATTCCATGATGCTATGACCAATTGTTACCTCTTCTCCCTATAGGCGATGCCACCGAGAGCACTGATGACATCTTCTTCCGTAAGGCTAAGGAGGGGATGGGTGCAGACGAAGCACAGTTCAGTGTGGAGATGCCCCTCACAGGCAAAGCTTATCTCTGGGCTGACAAGTACCGGCCTCGCAAGCCTCGCTTCTTCAACCGGGTGCACACAGGCTTCGAGTGGAACAAGTACAACCAGACCCACTATGACTTTGACAATCCTCCTCCTAAGATCGTGCAGGGCTACAAGTTTAACATCTTCTACCCTGACCTCATTGACAAGCGCTCGACCCCCGAGTACTTCCTGGAGGCCTGTCAGGACAACAAGGACTTTGCCATCCTGCGCTTCCATGCTGGGCCCCCCTACGAGGACATCGCCTTCAAGATCGTCAACCGCGAGTGGGAGTATTCCCACCGGCACGGCTTCCGCTGCCAGTTTGCCAATGGGATCTTCCAGCTCTGGTTCCACTTCAAGCGGTACCGTTACCGCAGATGAGGAGCTGCCCCACTCACCTCCAGAGCCCTGGAACAAGGGGCTCTCGCTTGCAATCCATGCACTGCCCCACAGCCATCCCCAAGGCATGGCCCAGCACAGGGCCTGTTCCTGAGGGGTTTCCCTGTCCTTGCTTTTATGTTGAGGGACCCTGAGACTTTGGTACCAATAAATAGGGGTTGTTTAAGCAGTGGCCTGCTGGGTGTGGGCACCCTATGCTGCTCACTCCTGTCCTGCACATCCCCACCAGCCAGTACCACACTCGGCCAGCACTGGGAGCATCTCTGGGGGCTGGGTAGTGCTTGAGGGTGTCCCCACCGACCTCTCCAGTGTCTGTCACCTCATTCCTTCTGCTGTAACTCTGGAGTGCCTTATCCAGCCCCATGCTCTCTCCTTGCCCCCCACTGGCCGCTTCCCAGGCCCACACGCTCCCATTGCTGGTGCCAGACCAGATGTTCCCCAGCTGCAGCCACCCTTGCTCCTCCCCAGATGGATCCCTGGGCTCATCACCCTCCTGGCCAGCCCTGTTTCTGGCATGTTCCACCCTGGCATCTGGCTTCCCCAGCCTGGAAGAGCCACCACCCCCTCCTGACCCTGGTCATGGGATGAAGGTTCAGTGGCTGTGAGGCGCCTGCCTTGGCAGGGAGGAGCAGAGGGTGTTGGATGGGACATCTCCTTACAGGGGAAAATCTGCCCTGCAGTCCCTCCCACCCGGTGCCTCAGCAGCTCCAGGCTGCCCCTGCCTGAGCTTGGGTGTTCCTGAAAGCCTTAAGCATCAGGGATATTGGGCGCCTTCAAGGCTGACCTGGGACTCGCTGGTGTTGGTCCCTCCTGGTGCTGGCCATGGGACACAGCCAGTGTTCAGGGGTCAACCCACATGGCCCCATCCCCAGCAGCTTCTGAACCTGGGGGCTGCTGAAGCCAGAATGATGCTGGAATGTGAGGAAGCCTCTTGGCCATGAACTGCAGCAGCAAGGCTGTTTCCTCCCCACAGGCCACCTCGCTGCATCCTGCTCCCTGTTACAGTCCCACAGCCAAAGGACTTGCTGGGGCTCCCCAGCACTGGGGCAGAGCCAGCCCTGCTGTTGGGGGCCTCCCTGCACTCGGGGTCTGCCCCATGGCTGTTATCTCCCCCCAGCGCTCAGTAGGGCTGCCCTGTCCTGCTGTTCTCTGCACCACTGGCTGCATCCAGCCATGCACAGGCCATAGGAGCTGGTGCTCAGGGAAGTCTCACACCTGCTGCAGCCCCCCCATCATACCAGGGCTCAGCTGCAGGGGTTTAGGAAGCCCCAAAAGCCTTACCCCCACACGTGCGTGTCCCATCCGCGTCTCCATCCCCATCCTGCCGGACATCCCTGGGGCTGGGTAACAGCCCCGGCATCTCCTTCCTGTGAGTTATTTAAAGCTCAGCCCTGGGGGTGCAGGAAGTGTGTGAAGGCTCAGCCAGGGATGGCCTGGGAGGAAACAGGGAAGAAAGAACCCCAAAGGCAGTGGCTGGAACTCTCCCTCCTTCACTGCCTGCCCCCCAGCCACACGCACCCATGGGCCCGACAGGTGTTGGTCCGTGGGGTGCCCAGTATCACCCATGGGCTCAATGAGTGCTGGTCCATTGTGTGCCTGGTGTCACCCATGGGCTCAATGAGTGCTGGTCCGTGGTGTGCCCGGTGTCACCCATGCGCTCGATGGGTGCTGGTTCATGGTGTGCCCGGTGTCACCCATGGGCTCAATGGGTGCTGGTCCATGGTGTGTCCGGTGTCACCCATGGGCTCGATGGGTGCTGGTCCATGGTGTGTCCGGTGTCACCCATGGGATCAGTGGGTGCTGGTCCATGGTGTGCCCGGTGTCACCCATGCGCTCGATGGGTGCTGGTCCATGGTGTGTCCGGTGTCACCCATGGGCTCGATGGGTGCTGGTCCATGGTGTGTCCGGTGTCACCCATGGGCTCGATGGGTGCTGGTCCATGGTGTGTCCGGTGTCACCCATGGGCTCGATGGGTGCTGGTCCATGGTGTGTCCGGTGTCACCCATGGGCTCGATGGGTGCTGGTCCATGGTGTGTCCGGTGTCACCCATGGGCTCGATGGGTGCTGGTCCATGGTGTGTCCGGTGTCACCCATGGGCTCGATGGGTGCTGGTCCATGGTGTGTCCGGTGTCACCCATGGGCTCGATGGGTGCTGGTCCATGGGTCCCGCCAGCCGGCGCTGCCCCCCCGCTCCATCCTCCCCATCCTCCGAACGCAGGAATCCGTCTCGGGTAAACAAATGAGTAAAGCGGAGCCGAGCCGGGCGCTGCTGAGCGCGGCCGGGACCGCAGCGCCGGGGCTGCAGCGCTGCTGGGCCGCGGGGCAGGTGAGAGTCGGGGCCGGGGGATGCTGCTGGGACCGGGGCGGGGCCGGGGGTGCCCGGGGTGCGCGGAGAGGAGCCGGGTGGGTCCGGCCGGCAGCGGCGGGGGGGGGATGCGCTGATGGAGGGTCCGGGCAGAGACGGGAAGGACAAAGAGCTGGGACGGAAGGAGCGGGGGAAGGACACAGAGAGACTGGGACGTAGGAACGGAGGGGCTCTGGTGGACACGGCGGGGGGGGGAGGCGGGACTGCACAGAGACCTGGAGACCCCCCGGGGGGACAGGCACGGGCGGTGCCCCCACCCCGCACTCTGTGCCTGTCCGTACCCTGGGCCGGGTGTCCGGGGCTGGCATGTCCCAAGCTGCCCCGCCAGCCCCGGTCACCCCCACGTCGGGGCGGACCCTGCCCGGCCCCCATGCTATGGGCCACAGCCACCGAGCCTGACAGGGATTGCTGCTGCTCCTGTGTCACCACTCCCCGTCGGTGTCCCTGTCCTGGGTGTCCCAGGGGTGTCCCTGCTCCAGGCCAGGCCAGGACCCCAGCAGCTGGTCCCCTTGGTGGCTGTGGGTCCAGGAAAGGATGCGGGAGCCCTGCTGGGTTCCTGTCCACATGGTGTAGCTGTTATCCCATCATTATCCCATCATCAGCCCAGCTGATGTCCTCGAACTGATCCGCCACGCAGAGAGCGCCATCCTGGGGGTGGTGGGTGCTGGGGCCATCCCTGGTGCCTAGCGGTGCCCTATGGGATCACCTGCAGGAGGGATATCGGCTGGAGGGGCAGATGGGGCTCTCTTTGTCGTGTTCCCTTGCCCAGAAACCTCCCTTCTCAGCACCCCCCGCCCCCTGCCCGAGGAACCGGGGAAGCGACAGGCTGGGAACGCTGATAAGGAGCAGCCGCCTGTGCTCCTGCTCCGCCTCCTGCCTTCCCCTCCCTGAGCTCGGATGTGGCCAAGGGCAGGAAGTGGGGCCCGGGCATCCCATGGGTCATCTGCATGATGCCAACCCTGTTAATACCTGCACCTCTGCATCCAGCACCTCTCATCCCTCAGCTGCTCCTCTCCGCTGGGATTTCACCCCTTTGCCTTCATCTGCAGTAGCTCCCTGGAAAAGGGTTTGGCTGGATTCAGTAACCTCAAAACCGCTTGCAGGCTCAGGGTGTCTCCTCCACAGGACGGTGAGTGAGGATCCCCTCATCCCACATGAACCTTGTCAAATGAGTGCCTCTGCTCTGGTGTGTGTGGGGCAGTGGCTGAATGCTCCCTCTTTAATGCCTTATCCCCTCTAAGAGCTGCACAGTTCCAAGGCAGCTCTGCCCAGAGCAGCACATGGATGCTCAGCACTCGAGCTCACCCTTGCATCATGCCCAGTCCTTAGGCTGTGGTGTCCCCAGCTCTGCTGGCAATGAGGGTCCAGATCACGGAAGCTCCAAGGCAGGAGGGGAGGGGACATGGGTGATGGTGGGTTTGGGATGTGCAGTGTGGAGCTGGCACTGTGGGGAGAGGGGTGGCATCCTGCCACGCAGCGACCATGCACCCAAGCAGAGGTCTTGGTATACCACCTCCCAGGAGGGCATGGTGTGCCACATCCCATGGCTGTGAGTCCACAGGTGATGGAAGCAGCTGGGCAGCATCGTTCCATGGGTCCTGGTCCCCACCCAGTGCAGGAACCACCCTGGGATTGGGAGGACACAGACACGCTTGGGGACGGCACCCAGGCACTTCAGGGGATACCTGGAGTGGGACCTCTGAGCTGGGGCATTACCGTGGAGATCCCAGGGGGATGCAGGAAAGGCTGATGGGTCCACAGGGACCTGGATCCATCTCACTGAGGCTTGACCACGTGCCTCAAGGGGACAGATGCCTTTGGGGCCACTGCAGTCATGGGAGGACCAGAGCAAACAAACAACACAAGTTTTCACTCTTGTCTCATGGAAAAAGCCGGGGCAGTGAATCACTGCCATGATCTGCCAGCGGGACCGGGACAGGGATGGGGACATGTCCCACTCCCACTCCCTTCCCTGCTCCCCAGTGGCCATTAAGGGTAAGAATCTGTGGCTGCCCCATCCTTGGCAGTGCTCAAGGCCAGGTTGGACACAGGGGCCTGGACCAAGCTGCTCTAGTGGAAGGGGTCCCTGCCTGTGGCAGGGGTTGGAACTGGAGGAGCTTTAAGGTCCCTTCCAACCCAAACCAGGCTGGGATCCTAGGTGAACAGAGGGCAGAGGCCAGTGCTACCCTGCACAAGGAGCGTGACACTTCACAGAGGTGACAGGTAGGGGCACCAGGCTGGGGATGGTTGGGGGACAGGGGACAGGAACATCCAGAGCCTGGAGAAATGAGTCCCAGGAAGAGGGTGGGGGGTCTGATCCCAGCCTGGTCCCCCACATGGAGTCTGGTCCCAGGGATGGGCACCCATTGCCCATTCCCGGAGCTGCCAGTGCTGTGATCCCAGCACCCGCTGCACTGGGTTAGAGCCTCGCGGCAGCAGCGCCCATGGCTCAGGGCCCGGTACTGTTAATCCTGACCAGATGCACCCCACGCTGTGCCAACCCCATGGTGCTGGTGGGTGTCCCCCCACCACAGACCCACATCTGCTGCCCTGAGTGGATGCTGGGTGGGTTTGGCCATGGGGGACCAGCCCCAAACCCCCACCTTGTTTCTGTCCCTGAAACCCCTCTTGGCACACTCTTGTGGTGTCCCCAACACCAGAGGGACATGGAGCTGTTGGAGTGGGGCCAGAAGAGGCCATGGAGCTGGAGCAGCTCTGCTCTGGAGCCAGGCTGAGAGAGCTGGGCTGGGTCAGCCTGGAGAAGAGAAGGCTCCTGAAGGGGAGACCTGAGAGCAGCTCCAGTGCCTAAAGGGGCTGCAGGAAACCTGGAGAGGGGCTTGGGACAAGGGCCTGTAGGGACAGGCCAAGGGGAATGGCTTTAACCTGCCAGAGGGGAGACTGAGATGAGCTCTTAGGCAGAAGCTCTTCCCTGTGAGGGTGCTGAGGCGCTGGCACAGGGTGCCCAGAGAAGCTGTGGTTGCCCCATCCCTGGCAGTGTTCAAGGCTGGGTTGGAAACAGGCTTGGAGCAAGCTGCTCTAGTGGAAGGGGTCCCTGCCTGTGGGAGGGGTTGGGACTGGAGGAGCTTTAAGGTCCCTTCTAACCCAAACCAGTCTGGGATTCTGTAATTGTCCTCACAGGGCAAGACAGGATCAGTGCCAGCACCAGTGGGGCACACACGCCATAGAGCCAAGCCAGGAGTACACCTGATGGGGTGGGGGGACATGGATCCCTCCAATGACAGCCGGTTAGACGCTTGCTTCGGGGTGTTCAACGCCAGCAACGGGCACGACCCTGTGCAGAGCAGCATCGCCTCACCCTGGTTCTCCACTGCCTTCGGCCTCATCGGCCTCGGCTCCAACCTCTTTGCCCTCTGCGTCCTGCTCAGCTCCTCCCGCAAGCTCTCCAGCCAGGCCCGCTCCTCCTTCCTTGTCTTCCTCTGCGGGCTGGTGGTCACAGACTTCATGGGGCTGCTGGTGACGGCCTCGGTCGTCATCCCCTACCACTTCATCAAGTTCGCCTGGGCCAGGGTGGACCCCAGCTGCCACCTCTGCAACTTCCTTGGCTTTTCCATGGTCTTCTTCGGGCAGTGCCCGCTGCTGCTGGGGGCCACCATGGCAGGAGAGAGGTTCTTCGGCATCAACCGCCCCTTCTCCCGCTCCACCAGCGTCTCGAAGCGCCGCGCCTGGTCCATTGTGGGGCTGGTGTGGAGCTTCTCCTGCCTGCTGGGGCTGCTGCCGGTGCTGGGGCTGGGCCGGTACACGCTGCAGTACCCCGGCTCCTGGTGCTTCCTCACCCTCCTGCCTGACACCGGGGACATCATCTTCTGCCTACTCTTCGCTCTGCTGGGCATCTTCTCTGTGCTGCTGTCCTTTGTCTTCAACACGGTGAGCATGGTGACACTCTGCCGTGTCTACCATGACCGGGAGTCAGTGCAGCGGCGCCGGGACAGCGAGGTGGAGATGATGGTGCAGCTTGTGGGCATCATGATCATCGCCACCATCTGCTGGATGCCCCTTCTGGTGAGGACCTGGGCTCACCCCCCTCACGCTCCTGGTGAGGAGTTGGGTCTTTTCCCACCCCCACCATGTCCCTTCTGAGTCTTGCTGTCCCTCTATGCTCCCCCTGGTGATGTCCCAGGTTTCAGGGTGTTTTCCTGGTGATGCCCTGAGACTTGGTGTCCCTCTGCCACCGCTCTGTCTGTTGGACCTGGATGATGGGCTCTGGGGCTCAGTGCCACACACAGGAGAGCAGGGCCCCCAGACCAGCCCAGGATCCCTCTGTAACAGGCTCAATGCCCAGCCTGGACCCTCCTCATCTCCCTGACCACAAAGCACTTCATGACCTCTGCATGGATCCCCCCCCACTGACACCTTTCCCCCTTCTCCCAGATCTTCATTGTGCAGATGGTGCTGCAGCAGCTGCCAGCCAAGGGCCAGCTCCAGACGCTGCCCATGGAGACGCAGAAGATGCTGCTCATCTACATCCGCATGGTCACCTGGAACCAGATCCTGGACCCCTGGGTCTACATCCTCTTCCGCCGGGCTGTGCTGCAGCGCATCTACCCTGGGCTGTGGCCACGGCCCTCCATCACCTCCCTCTACCCCGTCCTCAACCTCTCCCTGCGCCGCAAGCTCACCCCCAGCTCTGTCTTGCAGTAGTGGCCCCATGTGGGGACAGGAGAAGCAGCCTCCACCCCAGGGTAACCAACTGTCCCCATCACCCTCACCCACAGGTGCTCATCACCACCCAATACCCAAAGGGGGGGCAGCAGGTGTGAGGCTGCTCCCCCACCTTGTCCCCACCCACATGAGACCCCAATAAAGCAGCTCTGTGCCCACTTGGGTGGACACAGGGGGGCACAGAAAGAGGAACAGCCCCTGGGCTCCTCCACTCCCTGCTTTACTGAGCCACAGCCGTGTTTTGGGGTGTGCAAAGGGAAGCTGGGGGGGGTGGTGCCCCACACTGCCCCTGCCTTGGGTGCAGCTCTGGCGGGGCAGGATGGGGACCCCCCCCCGCTACTCCTGCCCCACTCGGGAGGGGCAGACGGCCGCCCACACCTCAGCCACGAACTCCTGGGGGAAAGCGAAGTCCCCAAGCACCGAGGCCAGGCCATGGGCAAGCTGCGCCGCGCCAGCGCTGTCCTGAGCCACCTCCACCATGGTCGAGGCTGCGGAAGAGAGGAGGGTCAGGAGCAGGTGGGGGGCCGGGAGGACATCCACTGCCCCCCTGCTGCCCTTCATTCCCCCCCCCGCTCACCCAGCTCACTGTCTCGGATGCCCATGTAACTCTCCAGCAGATCGTCCACCCGATGCGTGGCCTCTTCCTTGCAGGGGCTGGGCTGAAGGGGGTCAGGGGGTGACAGAGCAGGGACCTCTGGTCCCACCAAGCCATGCTCACGGGTGCCCTCAGCGAGGCACCCGCTGGTGCAGGCTCACCCGGGAGCATGGGGGATGCTCTTGCATGCCCTGGGCACTGTGTTTGTGTCCAGGGACTCAGGGTGAGGGGTTCTTGGGGGTCTTACCCCCTCCTCCAGCATGGCCGGGCCCTGTGCCCGCAGCCGCAGCGTCTCCTTCCCGCTGTTCACTCTGCCTTCACCCAGGGCCTTGCTGCTCCGCGTCCGCTGCCCGATCATGTCTGCAGCCCAGGACAGGAGGTCAGGGCAGCCCAGAGCCCCCCTGACCCCAACCTGACACCCCCCAACCCTGACACCTGCATCCCAGCCCACGTGTGGCCCAGCACCCCACGGTGAACTGTGCCAGGGGATGCTCACAGGCAGTGTGGGCATGGGGACACCCGTGGGTGCAGGGTGGCAGTGCACAGGGCAGTGCACAGAGGAGTGGGGCATCCACTGGGAGTACAAGTAGGTGCAGGGGTGCAGAGCACAAGGGGTGTCCCAAGGGGTGATGTGGGGCTGGAGGGTGCACACAGGGGTGGTGGTTCCTGGGGAGGGGCTGGTCCTTCCAGGGGTCCCCCAGATGGGGGGGAGGAGGGGGGGAGTCTCCCAACTCACCAAAGGCCTTTTTGGGCTGCACGAGGCGCAAGGTGAAGGGCTGAGCCCGGGGCAGCTCCCGCAGCATCCGCGCCACCTCGTAGTGCCGGCAGCCCACGATGGTGTGGTCATTGATGGCCTCAATGCTGTCCCCAACACACACCGCCTGGATCCGGTTTATGATGCTCCCCTCCTTGATTCTCTGGGGACGGGGGGGACACAGCACCACGGTGGCAACAGGGGAAGGACAGAGAGACACAGCCCCCACCCCACCCATAAAACCCTCCACAGCCAGGCAGGGCCCTCCCCACAGTGGGGGAGACCCTCAGGAAGGTGATGGGAGGAGCACACTGCCAGGGAGAGGGTCACCCTGCAGGCCCCAGGGCAGCCCCCCCGGGTGAGGCGGTTCACCTTGATGAAAGCATAACCAGCCCCGTTGTCTGTGATGGTGAGGCCAAGAGCGTCCTCCGTCTTGGTCACCTCCACCTCCTTTGTCTCACCCCGGACGTGGGCAAAGATGAAGTCCTCCAGCCCGATCTGCCCCCCCAGCAGCTTCTGCATGTCCACTTTGTGCGTGTTGAGAGTGCAGAAGAGGATCTGCGCCAGGGAGCCCCCCGTCAGCTGCTGCAGGCCCTCCATTGGTGGTGCCAGGGCAGGAGCCAGCCATGGGAGCAGCAGGGTCCGGGGGCACCCAGGACCCAGCCCCCGCCCACGCCCCCCTCACCTCAGTGGGGGAGATGCCAAAGACCTCAGCAATTTTGGCGTAGAGCTCCTTGACGTTGGTGAAGCCCTCGATGCGCTCCGTGGGGCTGCCGTGTGCCAGCTGCGTGTGGAACACCAGCCGGGGTCGCGCACGGGGAGCACGGGGCGCCAGGGGGCCCTCAGCTGCGGGGGGCTCAGGGGTGCCTGGTGCCTGCCTCATGCCGTTCTCCATGGGGCTGCCCTGTGGGGGCTGCCGGCCGTGCCTGCCCGCGCGCCGCATTGCTGCCCGCGTCGCTCAATTATAGATGGTGCTGGGCTGAAAGGTGATCCCAGGGCCGGGAACCTGAGCCAGGACCTGGGATCGGGTGAGCTCTGCCATTCACAACAGGCCCCAGCTCCACTGCACCTGGTGCAGCTGCGGCAAAGGGCTCAGGGCCAGCATCGGAGCTCCACACCCCAAACCCCCAGGATTAGGCCCAGAGCAGCTCCAAGTATTAACACACTGGGCCCAGAATGGGCCCTGGCTCCATCACACCCTTCCTGGAACTCAGGGCAGGCCAGAAACCCCCTGTGTGCTGGGCTGCATGAGCAGGAGCATGAGCAGCAGGTCATGATCCTGCACCTCTGCTCTAGTGAGACCCCACTTGCAGCACTGGGTGCAGTTCTGATGTCCCCAGCCTAAGGACATGGAGCTGTTGGAAGTCCAGAGAAGGCCATGAGGATGATCAGGAGCTGGATCAGCTCCCATTGGAGACAGGCTGAGAACATTGGGGCTGCTCAGACTGGAGAAGAGAAGCTGCATGGAGACCTCAGAGCAGCTTCCAGGGTCTGAAGGGGGCTACAAGGGTGCTGGAGAGGGGCTCTGCATCAGGGACTGTAGCGACAGGACAAAGGGTGATGGGTTCAAACTGACACAGGGGAGGTTCAGGTTGGAGATAAGGCAGAAGCTCTTCCCTGTGAGGGTGCTGAGGCGCTGGCACAGGGTGCCCAGAGAAGCTGTGGCTGCCCCATCCCTGGCAGTGCTCAAGGCCAGGTTGGACACAGGGGCTTGGAGCAAGCTGCTCTAGTGGAAGGTGTCCCTGCCCGTGGCAGGGTGTCGGAACTGGATGAGCTCTAAGGTCCCTTCCACCACAAACCAGTCTGATTCTAACACGCTGGCTCCTGCACCCCAACATCCCTGGGATTTTGGCCCCAAGCATGAACACACTGAGCCCAGCCTGGTTTTCTCCAATATTTATTTGCTCCATCTCCCATCCCAAGCCAAGCAGCCACCAGGAGATGGCAACCAGGAGACTCGACAGAGAACAGACCTCACAGGCAGGAGCCAAGCAGGCACAGTCCAGCCCCAGGTTGAACCCAGGGCTTGATCCACATTATGCTAAGTAAGAAAATAAGACACTCTCTAATAACAGTCTGAGATTGGTGAGAGGCAGCCCCTGGGAGGGCAGGCCCAGGACACAGCCACCAGTGTGGTGGTCCCACTCTCGGATGGGCTCGGGCAGGAGACCAGAGCCTGTGCACGGGGTTGGGGCCAGCTCCCCATCCAGAATGATTACTTCGCTTCTGCTGTTGCAGGTGGCAGGAGCTGCCCTTCCTGGTCCCAGAGCCAGGGGAAAGGAGGTGACAGGCAGGGGGATGAAGGCACCCATGGAGAGGATTAAATAAAGCAAGAGGAAGGCAGAAGGGAACGTGCCACATCAGCATTGCAGGACAGGGCAGCAAGAAGCTGCCTTAGCTGCTCCAGGGGCCAGGAGGTACCTGGCTGCTTCCCTTCCAGCACAGGCCAGTTAAAAGCAGCCACTGTGTCACGCTGGAAGAGGCTGTAACCCACAAGCAACTCACCCACCACCAAAGAGCCTTTGGGGCATCTCTGAGCTGGAGCACCAGGAGCTGGGGGGCTCACAGGGTGTGCGGGGGGTTGCTCACAGCCACAACACCATGTCCCTCACAGCCCTGGCATCACTTGGTCCCCAGAAGCTAAATGTCCTCAGAGATGGTGCCCCAGGGTCAGGGGGTCCCTGCTCATGGCTCCGGTAAGGGGTGGAGAAGAAAGAACCGGACCCCAGCAGAGACTGTCCCTAGTGTGAGCTCCAAGGGACAGGGCCAGGGTCCGGCCAGCCCCAGGCTCCACAGGGACTGGTCCCCTTCACAAGTGCTCACTGGAGACGGAAGAAAGTAAAGCTGAGTTACAGGGGGGAAGCTTCTCTCTCCCACAGCTCTGGAGCAGCTCAAAGCCCCTCTCTATCCCCCACTTTGCTGCTCAGCCCTGCCATGGGCTGCCCCAGTGCTTACCAGGACACACAGGACACCAGCTCACCTGGCTATCCGGGACAGGATCTCCTTGATGCGCACCACCAGTTTCTCATGCTGCAGTGGGTTGCTTTCGATGGCGCTGTGAAGTTTGGCCATGTAGAAGTCCAGAGTGCTCAGTGTGGGTGTCTCCCCAGTGCCTGTGGGGCAGAAGCCCAGTTAAACAAGGCCAGCGAGTCTCCATCTAGCCTGGCCCAGCCCATCAATGCTGGTGACAGGACCCTGAATCCTGCAGCAGGAGAGCACCACACCACCACAAACCCAGAAATCATAGAATCATAGAACAAAAGGATTTGGACTAATCTCTGCCTTGTGGGCACAAGGGTGACTATGGCTCAAGAGGAAGATGGCTCCCAGCCTGCCCTACCCCGCTAGAGGGGAGCCACCTGACTGCCACATCCCTGGGCACCCCAAACTGCTCCAAAATCCTACTCCACCATCAGATGAGTGTCTATCATCACCTCACTGCCCTGCTTATACCACATGCAGAGCTCCAGGATGTCTCCCTGCAGGTCTCCACAGCCACCCCAAACTCACCGGGGATGGGAAGGGAGGCGAAGCTGGCGGTGAGGGCCTGGCGCACAGACTGGAGCTGCTGCTGCAAGGCCAGGGTCTGCTTCTCCTCCTGGGCCAGCTCCTGCTCCAGCTTCTCCTTGGCACAGTTCATGCTCTCCGTGTGCTTCTGCAGGATGGCATTCTGCTCCTCAAACTCTGTGTTCATCTTCCGAAGGCGCCTTAGCTCTGCCTCCCGTGCTGCTGGGACCACACTACATCAGTAGGGATACCCTTGGCTCTCCCACATCCCAAGCCCATGGAAACCCAGACTGGTTTAGGTTGGAAGGAACCTTAAAGCTCCTCCAGTTCCAACCTCTGCCATAGGCAGGGACACTTTCCACTAGAGCAGCTTGCTCCAAGCCCCTGTGTCCAACCTGGCCTTGAACACTGCCAGGGATGGGGCAGCCACAGCTTCTCTGGGCACCCTGTGCCAGCGCCTCAGCACCCTCACAGGGAAGAGCTTCTGCCTGAGAGCTCATCTCAGTCTCCCCTCTGGCAGGTTCAAGCCATTCCCCTTGGCTTGCCCCTACAGGCCCTTGTCCAAAGCCCCTCTCCAGGTTTCCTGCAGCCCCTTTAGGCACTAGAGCTGCTCTAAGGTCTCCCTTTAAGGAGCCTTCTCTTCTCAATCCCTTCCCCAACATACAATTCATCCAAGAGGCTCAGCATTACCAACCACAGACTCCAGTCCCTGTATCCAACCTCAGCAGGGACATTCCACAGCCTGGATCTAGCACCCAGTGCCAGCCATGGTCCTGCCCCATGGGATACAGGCTGTTCCCCACGCAAGCTGCTGCAAGCACCAGCAGCCCCCACCCCACAGTCCAGCCTCTCACCTTTGTTTTGGTCCAGGAACTCCTCTGTGAAGATAGGCACATCAAAGGTGGAAAAGGTGTCACTGCACTCACCAGCCTGGGGGATGGATCAGGCAGGGCTCAGCACACCCAAGGGGTCCCAATTTTCTTGGGGCTGGGCAGACAGAAGGCAAAAGGACAGGGCAAGGGGTGCCCCAGTTTCCCCACACACAGGCAGACTGGCTGGGTCCTTACCTTGTGTGGGTGCCCATTCAGCAAGGTGTTTGCTGCTGCAGAGCCCATGTCCTCTGGAATGAAGGGAGAAGGTTCCCCCTAAGAACCAGCCCGGCATCCCCCAGAGGCTCTGGCAGTGCTTGGCCAGGTCCTGACAGTGCCTCCAGTAGCCACTGCTCCCCAAACACACCTTTTTTGATCTTTTTCTCCTGGATCTTCTCCGTGCACATTTTGTAGGCTTCTGACTGTTGGTATTCCCGCAGCTCCTTCATATACTGCTGCTTCTCCCGCTCTGCTTCATCCAGGTACCGCTGTGGACACACAGGGGCCTCAGCCTGGCCCCAGCCTCCCAGGGGCCTGCTTGACTCCCTTCCCCACTACTCGAGACTTCTGCTGCCCACCCCACCAGTAGACAGATGGGTGGAGGCCAGTACCTGCTTCTCTGAGAGCTGCAGCTTGCTCCACTCAGCCCCCAGCATCTTGGTGATCTCTGGGAAGGGCAGGTCAGGATGCTGTGTGCGGATCTGCTCACGCCGCTCATTTAGGAAGCGCACGTAGCCTGTAACTGGGGCTTTAGGGCCATTGGGAAGGATCTTCTTCCTCTTCTTGCCCTTGGGCCAACCTCTCTTCTTCACTGGCTGGCACCCAGCAAAGGGAAAAGGACAAGCCACCATGGATCAGGGCACATGATGCCACCTGCCAACGCAGGACACTAGAGCAGCATGCAGAGCCTCCTGGGCCTCCCATCCCTTGAGGAATGGTCAAGGACCCCTTGAGGGTCACTTGGCTGTGCCCAGGCTGCTGAAAGGCAAGTGGAAGCACAGCTCCAGGCTGGGCAACCTCTGTGGGGAGGGATAAAGGCACTAAAACTCACCTCCTCTTCACCGTGTGACTTCTCACCACTCGTCCGCGCCACCTCTCCCTTCTCCTGCTTGATGGCCACCAGGAAGTTCCCATGCTGAGCTTTGCTCGTGGCATGTCTGCAGCCAGAGAGTGCTCATCAGAAAGGGCTGCGGAACTGCTGGGACCAAAGGTGACACCTCCCCAAACTCCTGCCCATGTCCCAGTAGCCCCCAAACCTGCCACCAGCCCTGGAGACCCTGCTCCCAAGTGATGGGAGGCCGCAGTTGAGTTGATGGTGCTCAAGCAAAGCCCGGCACCAGACAGTCCTAGGACAAAAAGGCTGCCCCAAAGCCCAGGGATGACCCTGGGATCTGTCAATGACATTTGGAAGGGGAGCAGAAGGCACAAGTCCTGCTTTTGAGGACAGGTAACAGCAACTGTCACTTCCCTGCTCTACACACCTCAGCGAGGACTCCCAAACGGCACAAACCAGCTGATCCTCCTCAGGAAGGGAGGAGAAGCTGTAGGGGTTTCAATCCTGGCTCCAGGGAAGCATCACACACACCCAGCACAAGCACTGCCAGGGATAAGGAGAAGCCTCAAGGCAGAGGATGAGGGCAGGGTACTGCTGCTGGCTTGACCCACTCCAGCCACAACTGCTCCATCAGGTTTCTGCCACTACCACCGAGATGCACCAAGGGGCTCCAACACAGGGCTGGTGGGCCCAGATTCTTCTGCCCCAGCTCGCTGATCACCTTTACACATCAGGCTTCATTGCAGGACATGGGTCCCAGCAGAGCGTCCCTGCCTCAGCTGAGCACATGCCACCCCACTGCACAACCATGGAACCCCAGCCTGGCTTGTCCTGGAAGGGACCTTAAAGCTCACCCAGTCTCACCCCCTGCCACGGGCAGGGACCCCTTCCACTGGAGCAGCTTGCTCCAAGCCCCTGTGTCCAGCCTGGCCTTGAGCACTGCCAGGGATGGGGCAGCCACAGCTTCTCTGGGCACCCTGTGCCAGCGCCTCAGCGCCCTCCCAGGGAAGAGCTTCTGCCTAAGAGCTCAGCTCAGTCTCCCCTCTGGCAGAGGCCCCCCGAGAACGCACAGCACCACCGGGACAGCGATGGGGGCAGTCCGCTGGGCTTGGGGGTGGGGGGAGGCACTTACAGCATCCCGGCCGGCAGCTGCTTGGCGCTGTGAGCCATGGTCCGGGGTCCGCGCCCTGAGGGACAGAAACGGGGCTGGGACGGGACCAAACCGGGGGCAATGGCGGGACCCCCCAGTGGCGCCTCCCCTCAGCGGGCCCCGCTCTGAGCTCACCCCCCCCGCTGCCGCTTCCTGCCCTGCCCCCGCCCCTCTATTATTATGCAAATGAGGTTCTTGCCTCCGCCCCTCCCATTGGCCGCCCGCGCCGAACGGGGCAGCCAGGAGCTTAGCGCGGATTGGCTGAAAGTGGTCTGACGTCAGAGGGAAGTGGCGGAGAAAAGGGCGGAGCGCGGGGCGGGGACTGACGGCGCTGCGCGCGCGACTGGCTGCTAGGCCAATCAGCGATCGGCGTGGGGAGGGCACCGCCTTAAAAAGGCAACGGCACCGCGCAGGTGGGGGCGTGTCCGCCGTGGGTGACCCCAGTGCGCCCCTCCCCCCTCCGGGAGGAGCCCAGAGGGAGCCAATGACCCCCGCTGTGCCCGGCGCCCCCAGTCCCATTGCTCCCAGCGACCCCAGTTACTGCCCCCCACTGCTCCATCACTCCCAGTACCCCATGACTGGGGCCCCAGCGCCTACCCTCGGGGTCCCAATGGTCCCGACATCCTCCCCTCCACTGCTCCCAGTGACCCCAGTACTACCCATACTTGTCCCAGTCACCCAGTACCTACTCAAGATGAGGTCCCGATCATCTCAGTACCCTCAAACTGCTCCCGGTGACCCCAATACCCATCCGAGGAGTGGTATTCAAGACAAGGTTCCAGTCACACCAGTACCCCCCACTGCTCCAAGTGAGCCCTGTATCCATCCAAGGGGTGGTCCCAGTGACTCCGCTACAGCCCACATTGCTCCTAGTCACCTCAGTAGCGACTCAAGGGGTGCTCCCAGACACCCCAGTATCCCCCCCGCTGCTCCCAGTCTCTCCAGTAGCCCCCACAATCCCAGTGGCCCCAGTACTGCTTATACTGGTCCCAGTGACCCGGTACCTACTCAAGACGCGCTCCCGGTACCCGCCGGACGCAGCTCGCAGCCCCACTCCCGGCGCAGGCAACGGTGGCCGCGCGGTGTGCCCGGGGGGCGGAGCAGAGCCAGCCCGGCGTCGGGGGTGGGGGACGACGACGACGGACGACACCGGGACAGCCCCGCCCCGTCCGTCCGCCTGTCCCATCCCGGCCCGGCTCGGCATGGAGGAGCGGGCGCTGCCGCTGCCACTGCCGGTGCGGGCAGCGGAGGCGCTGCCGCTGCGGGCGCGGCTGAGCTTCGCGGCCGGGCACTTCCAGAATGACGCCTGCGCCGCGCTGTGGTTCACGTACCTGCTGCTGTTCCTGCACAGCGCGCTCGGCTTCGGGCACCGCGCCGCGGGCGCGCTGCTGCTGGCGGGGCAGCTCGCGGACGGGCTCTGCACGCCGCTGCTCGGCTACGAGACCGACCGCTCCGCCGGCTGCGGCCGCTACGGCAGGAGGAAGTCCTGGCACCTCGCCGGTGGGTGCCGGGGCGGCGCTGGGGGAGCCCCGCCGGGGATGCGCTGGGTGGAGATGGGTGGCCCTGGGGAGCATTTTGGGATCAGCCCTGGAGGTGCCTTTCTGGGGTGCGCTGGGGGGGCGGAACTGAGGGTGCCTATCCAGGGTGCTCTGATTGGAGGTGGGTGGCCGCAGGGGAGCTTTTCTGGGTGCAGAAACATCGGGTGCCTTTTGGGGTGTCCTGATTGGAGATGGGTGGTCCTAGGAACCTTTCTGGGTTGCCCTGGGTGGAAATGGGCACCCTTGGGGAACATTTCTTGGGTGGGGGAACTGAGGGTGAGATCGGAGGCCCCAGGGGAGCTTTTCTGGGGCGTCCTGGGTGGGGGACATCGGGAGCCTTTCTGGGATGCTCTGAGTGCAGATGGGTGGCCCCAGGGAGATTTTCTGGGGTGACCCTGGGTTGGGGAACAGAAGAGGCCCATCCAGGGTGCCTTGTGTGGAGATGATGGCCCAGGGGGAGCCTTTCTGGGGTGCACGATCAGCCTCTGTTACCTTTCTGGGCTGCCTGGTGAGGGGGGCAGACATCAAAGGCGCTCTTTAGAGATGCTGAGTGGAGAGGGATCCCTCAGGCACAGCTGGGGAAGGGACACTGTGGTGTCCCCATCCTGCCCATGGGCACCATCCCCATCCCAGTAGGCTGTGACACAGTGGCTGGTGCTGCCCTGGGCTCCCACTGTCCCTCAGGCCATGCACTGAGTGTCCCTGTGCCTCCATGTGTGGGTGTCACTGAGTCAGGGTCAGAGCTTTGTGCTCAGTGAGTCGATTCTGTGGCAGTAACAAGACTGTTGTTAACATCTGGGCTTCCCTATGAGCCCGAGGGTTCATCGGGGCCTTGTCTGTGGCCTGGCACCGCTGGGTTGTCCCTGTGGGTGGCCCTGGGGCCCTTGTCTGCACTGGGGAAGGCAACCAGCACATGGGGAGAGAGAGCCCTGTGGGAACACAGAGGAGTCACCAGTGGCTTGGTGTTGAGTTATTGACATCCTGCACCATGCCTTGGGGTCAAACAAACTGCGAGGAGGTGCAGGGGTTCATCGGGACGCTCGTGGTGGGGTCACTGTGACCTGGAGTAGGGTCCTTGGTATGCAGGAGCCTGCTCCAGCCCTGCAGAGCAGTTGTTGGGTAGCTGGCTTGAAGAAACATACATCCACAGGCAGAGATAAACCCCCTTAATGGTAACACCAGAGTGGATGCACACAGAGAGGACAGTTGTAGCATGGGGTGGTCTTATCTTAATCCCACACTTATCTCAGCCAACCACTCTGTGCAGCCCAGTGATAGCCCGATAAGGTGCCTGATGTCCCCGGGGTACTGCTGGGTGAGTCAGGGAGGGTGTTGAAGCTTCACCTCTGCCAGGGCTCAGCTCAGAACTGTCCCCTAGATTTAGGGAAGTGGCTGATGTTGTGCTTGCCCCCTCCACGGGCAGCTCCGCTTCTTGCTGCTCCCAAAGGGAAGTCCTGGATCGCCCTTCCCAGCTCCAGCAGCATGGCTGGAGGCTGCTTCCCTGGCCAGAGCAGGGGTTGTTGTCCCCAGAAGTGGGGTGATGGCAGTGAGGTCCAGCAGACCTGGAGCAGTGCTGCACTCCTCACACTGTGGCAGAGATGCTCCGTGTGGGAGTGCCCTGGCAACCCGCACTCCCAGCAGAGGAAACTTGTGAAACCACAGCCCGGGGGGTGGTTGTGGCGCAGACACCACGAGTTGCTATCAGTGGCATCTCCCCAACGCGGCACTGGGCTCCCGGTGCTGGTGGTGCTGATGGCTCAGCATCACACTGGCTCTTCCTGGGGGACAGTTTCCAGCCATAGCAGTCTGGGAAGGATGAATGTCTTTGCTGCCTCTCTAAGCCAGTCTGGTGGTGCTGTTCCAGATTCCCTGCCCAGGGAAGCCTGGTATTCCTGTGATCCTGCTTCTTTCAGTCCTCCCCCACAGGGCTGGTTGCTGGAAGCGGGGGCCAGGGGTGGGAAAAGGGGGTGCTTTGGGGGCTCCCATGGCCTGCCTTGGGCAGTGTGGGCTCCTCAGCATACCTTTGGCTCTTGGCAAAGCCGCGTTCACTTGGGTAGATCCAGGGTATGTGGGTGCAGATGCATGGCAGTGGAGCCCAGCTCCATGTGGGTGGCCCTGGTGTTTGATGGTGGTGATGGGCCAGGGGTGGACACGGAGGCTGGAGCAGCCTGGGTGTGCAGCTGCTGCCCCAGCGTTACCCTAGGGATGTCCTTAGGGGATGCAGAGCTCGATCCTTGCAGGGCTTGGTTCAAAAGGAGCCAAGGAGGTCTGGTGCAGTTGGAACCCTCTCAGACCCTTCCTGTCCCAGGGGTTCTCTGGGGCAGACACCGTGGTGTGGCCAAGTCCTCTGCGCCTCTTGAGAGCTCCTGGAGCACCAGAGCTGGGTGTGAGCTCTGGAGCAGTGCAGCAGATGTGCTCTGTAACCTTGTAGAAGAGGAAGGAGAAGCCATCCTGTCCCTGCCTGCTCCACGCAGGCGTCCCCCCGCCGTCGCACTGCTGCTGAGGGAGGAGCTTGGCTCCGCGGCCCCTGGCTAAGCTGGAACCGTCTGTGGTGGCTAAGAGCCATGGGTCACATCTGCTCCGGCCCTCCCAGTGCTGCCCGGAGGTGTCCCTGGTGCTGCGGGGCCTTGGTGTGAGTGTGGGGGGAGACCCCCGGGAGCAGGGAAGGGGGACCCCAGAGCCTTGCAGCCCCTTGGGGGGGCCCTGGCTCTGGTTATCGTGTGCGGAAGGTGAGATAAGCTCCTGGTGCCTGCAAGGTGTGACCGTGTGTGAGGGTCTTGTCCTCTGGACAGAGCAGATGGGAGGTGGCTGAAGCACACTGTCAGAGGTGCTGGCTCGCTCTGTTTCTGTGTCTGAGCTGGCTGCGGCTGTTGGTGTCCCAAGGAAACAGGGCTTGCAGCCTCTCACTGCTCTGCTCTCTTCCCAGGCACCACATGCGTCCTTGTGTCCTTCCCCTTCATCTTCAACCCCTGCCTGGCCTGCGAGGAGAACACGCCACAGTGGGCAGCCTTCATCTACTACCTCCCCTTCATCATCATCTTCCAGTTTGGCTGGGCAGCCACACAGGTCTCCCACCTCTCCCTCATCCCTGAGCTGGTGACCAGTGACCATGAGAAGGTGGAGCTCACAGCTTTCCGGTGAGCACAGCTTTTCGCCTCTGCTATGTCCCTTTGCATGGTGAGAGGTCCCCTGGGTGTCATGGCACATGTGAGCCCTTGGTACGGCAGGACCAAGACTGGGCCATGTGGGTGTCCTGCAGAATGTGTCCAAGTGGCTCTGGTGCTCTGGGTTGGTGGCCCAAACCCTTTGCTGCCAGGAATGTTTTGGTGGCAGAGGTGTTGGGATGCTTCCCTGGGGGCACTTCTCCTTTGGCACTGGAGGGTGATACTCACAGGAACAGACACCCCCAGATGCCCCTGGCCTTGCACAAGCTGTGCCATAGTTAGGTATGGCCTCAGGGCCAGGCTGGGTATCATGTGCAGCTCTGTGCACAGAGCCGGCTCAGTGCTGCTTATCCAGAGGAATCTGGACAGGCTTGAGAGGTGGGACTGTGTGAACATCATGAAGTTCATTCACTCAAATGATTCTGTGATCTGTCAGGATCAGGCTGAGGGTTTATCAGATGGAGCAGGGGTGGGAGGAAGTCCCTTCTACTGAGTGGGGACCAGCTGCAGTGCAGTGGGGCAGGGAGGATGTGGGGCAGTGCTGGGGTAACTGGGTTCCAGATCTGGGGGCACTGGTTCAGGTACCTTGGGGCACCCTTGTGGCAGAGGTGAGCTGCGACTGGAGAGTGAACAGGGTGGCTCAGAGGGATCATAGACTCACAGCCTGGTTTGAATTGGAAGAGACCTTAAAGCTCATCCAGCTCCAAGCCCCTGCCATGGGCAGGGACACCCTCCAGTAGAGCAGGTCCTGTCTCCCCTCAGGTATGCCTTCACCGTCATGGCCAATATCACTGTGTACGGCCTGGCCTGGCTCCTGCTGAACTTCCAGGTGGACCAGCCTGAACGCATAGAGCACTTAGGCCCCCAGGATATCCCTATATTCCGGGTAAGTGGCCTTGGAGTGCCCTCTTCCCTGTGTGGGGCATGGCTGAAACGGGGAGGTACCAGTGGGAGTGAAATAGCAGCACCCTGAAACATCACCCACTGCATGGGGCAGGGGTTGCACTGAGCTTCCCAGGGCTTTTGAGAACCTCTTTCTCCACCAGCTGGGGGTGGCTGATGGACAGGCAAAGGGCAGCCCCTGCCATGCTCACCCCCTCTGCCTCACCCAGAACCTGTCCCTCATTGTGGTGGGACTGGGGGCTGTGTTCTCCCTCATCTTCCACCTGGGCACCAAAGAGAAGCCGTACCCATGGGGCTCATCAGCCCAGCCAGAGGAGAGCACTCCCCTACTTCAGAAGGAGCTGAGCCCTCTGCGTCCGCTGCTGATCTGGAGGGACTGGCTGTGGGAACCTGCCTTCTATCAGGTACCTTCTGGTGGTTGGGGGTCCTCTGGCAGTGAGACGTCCTGTGGGGATAGAAAGATGAGAAAGAAACCTGGAGAGGGACTTTGGACA